AGCCTGAGCACATTTGGAGCTGGATCAGGGCTGCGCCCCGGGTCTCACGTGGATGGAAAGAGAAGTCAGGGGAAGGTGCCTAACAGAGGGAGCCTGCTGCGGCCAGACTGTAACGTGTCTCATGAAAGGCTTCCCGGGGTCACAAGCTGATAGGAAGATACTGAAGAACTTGAGCTTGAACCTTTCTGTCCAGGAACAGTCTTCTTCAAGACGAGGCCAGGCCACAGGCTGCTGCTGCCTGTGTGGGCACAGAGCATCGCCACCCCAGTGGAGGGATGGGCAGGATTCTGCGCTGAGGTTGCTGTCTGGGGGCTCGCAGGAAGTGTGCCACTGAGCCTGGTTGCCCCCCAGCTTCCTGGCTGGACCTGGAGGTTTCTGCACAGGGAGGCGGTGGCTCTGCAGGGCTGTGTCTTTGCTGCTGGCACAGAGGTACAGGGCCGAGTCTTCTGGCCCCGGGGCATCCACGTGCAGGTGTAACTGAGCGGTGTCTGGGCGTTTGGGCGTGAAGCGTGCTGGCACACTATTGTTTTCAGTGAGTTCCTTGTAGCTATAGATAAACAGGAGCTGCAGCGGCTTGTGAGGGCTCTGTTTGTACCAATACATAGCGTTATGTCCCAGCTGTTGTTTGCACTTCAAAGACTTCTTAGCTCTCATTCCCATCACCAGGAACTTTGGTATCTGAGTAATTCCAGGGTCAGGGCAGACTGTTGGGGGAAAGGGACAGAATTCAGACCAAGCCCAGAAGGAAGGGTGGTGCTGCAGCCGCAGGGGAATGGCTGAGGGTCCGAGGGCAGCCCACTGGGGCCCCAACTCACCTGCTCCCAGGAGACAGAGGGCCACGCAGCCCAGCAGCCAGCAGCCCATGGTGGACTCAGGCCCAATGGCCTCTTCTAACTGGGATGTCATGGCGGGGGTGGGGTGGGCTCTGGTCTCCTTGGCCTTGGTTGGAGGCTCTGCCCGTGATGTCACTGTCCCTGACAGTTTCCCCAGGCCCAAGGGACACTCCTCCCCCTCTCATGCTTTGTACAGACTCTGATCCAAGGTGGATCTCAATGGACTGACGTGAGTTATTCCGCTGATGTTTGCCCTGTTTCTTTTAGCTGCCTTCCTCAGTACATAGATTCTCTCCCTAACACGCTCCTTCCAGGTCCCCCTCTCAGTCAGGCAGGATGTCTCTCCAATGTCGTCTCCCTCAGTGTCTACCTCCTTGGAGCCCCCTTGCCCCACGGAGTGGAGTGGGACACATTGGATGGACCCGCACCCATCAGTTTAAATGCATGACTGCAGTCCCAGCCCAGAGCCAGACCCCGGGAAGGGTGCTGAGGGAAGGAGGGACAACCGGTCTCCGCACCTGCATTGAGGATCCAGGGCTTGGCTGGGCTCAGCACTAACCATTACTGAAAGACAACGGAAAGCACTAGTTGAAGGCAAAGGGAGATCAATTTGAAGACGATTTCAGTTTAATATCCTTGGGATGACTACAACTGATGGCCCCAGCTGACAGGAGGATGGAGCCCCAGGTCCTAGTGTCCGCCCTCTCTCTCACACCCCTCCCTCACTCCCAACCCCTTCCCCTCCCCCAGCTCAGAAGTTTCAGTGGAGCCACAGCTCCTCCTTCTGGCCAAAGCAGCATGCTTTTCAAATCCCAGGCCTCTTACACCCCAGCCCAGGGCGGCAATGCAGATGCACCCCTCATTCCATGAACTGGGAGCAGCTGTGATGGGCATGCAAGCCTAGGGCAGTGTGAAGAGGAAAGAAGCATCCAGAATAACAAAAGCAGTCAGCAAAAGCACCCCCTCATCCACGTACCCGGGACAGTCAGCGCTTACTCAACAGGTTGGCTGTGTCTGGGTTCTTAGTGCTGGAGGAAACACAGGCCTGCAGAAACACCCCCGCCCCTGTGGAGCGGAGAGGCCAGCTTCACACTGTGGAGCGGAGCGACCGCAAATGCTCACGGAGCAGCAGCCCGGAGCAGGCGTGGAGCGCCACGCCCTCCCACAGCACTCTGCGGCAGCGGGGTCATGCAACAGAGTCACGGGGAATGGCGAGGGGACTCAATGCGTCGTCCGATGTCTGAGAGATGCATTCAGTGTTCCAGGGGTCAAGTCACTTCCTATGTGTGACAGTGTAGACAACGGTCACATGAGGGGCTGCGATGAAAGGACCCCAGAGCCCTGTCCAAGTCGAACACGTTAGAGACCGAGCCAGGCCCGTCATTTCTGCAGACGGCTCTGCAGGCTGGCACTAGTTGGGGTGCCCTACCAGCAGCCATTGCTACTTCACGGCCTGTTTATGCTTTTTGTCTGCCTAGTGACTGGAGTGCCATCTAATTTGTTCACAGGTGCCATTTGGCCAGAATTGAATTTGCATTTCAGAAAATGTAAATGGATGAACAAATACAAAAATGAAACACTCTACAGACTGCTAAATGATCTTTTGCCATACCATTTATTATTCTGGTCAGTATTTATGACCAAATTGGAATAACAAGGATTTATATCAATCCATGTTGGGGTTAAAGAAGATGGATACCCATGCTTTAAGTCAGCGTGCTGGGTCAGGAGGTAGATATTAGTGTTTTCTATGGTAATAAATTCTTTCAGATTTTAAATATGGTCCAAAAGAGAAACTAAATGTTAAGGCACACAGTTAGAATGTAACCGTGGATTACAAAGGAGGGTGGACGTTCTCCCTGAACACGTGGCATGTATGGTGGACCCTCAGTCCACTGGAGTAGGAGATGCTCCATTCTCAGGTAAGAACCTGAAGTTAACCCTGGTTGCAGGGCCAGCATAATTTCTATGAACACTGCTGTGATATGTATATCCACCGTAGCAAGGGGACACTCTGATGGCCCCTCTCTGTGAAACAGCACAAGTCTGAACACATAAAGTTGCATCACATTGCTTGGCTCCCAATAAGGATGTAACTTCTAAGGATTACAAAACAATCGGAACTTAACTGACACCTTGAAGGGTGAGGGAAAGTGAAAGGTTTGGTGGCTCTGAAACAAGAGCCAACTTGAGTGACTCTCGAAGCAAGGGGTGGGCGAAAGGAGAGTGAAAGTCATCCGATCAGGGAATGAGCCTGAAGAAGGAAAATAACTGGAGCGTGGTCTGAATTGCAATAAGGAATAGTGAAAAAATGAATGTGAACATCTAAGCACATTCAAATAGTGCTGTTGATATCAGATAGCAATGGCGCATGCTGCTTGAAGATAAATAGGAAAGACATAACCGATTCCAAGACAGCTAGGGTTTGGAGTATAGGGAACAAAAAGGAATTCCCAAGGATGCATGGAAGGAACTCCCTTTTTCATGACCAATTCCTATGGGGTATGGACAGTGAGGGCTCTAGAAGGCTGAGCAGAGACAGGTGGTGGGAGGCTGGAGAGCTGGAGACAGATTTCAGAAGACTCTCTCACATGAATGAATACGCTATGATTTCCTCCAAGACCCCAGCAAGTCCAGGCACTTATAATAAGGACACGCTCAGGCTCCCTAAGAGAAAGGGACAAACTGAAATAAATCCACATTCAAACCTGCCAGGGTAACACTTAACACTCTTTAGAAGAACATAACATAATCCAGAGTCCCTCTTCTGGATTAGGTTATCCACATATGCACCCCATAAATCTCTTTATAATCCTTCATGCAGAATATTTTAGTAGTCTCCTCATTGTTCATTCCATCCCAAATCTATACGTCTACCACTGTGATTGTAGGACAGTGCAAATCTGATCATGTCATCTCACGTCAGGTAGGATCAAGGACTAGCTACTACTGCCTAGAGACTTGTGTCCAGAGTCTTTCTTTTCCACGTCTCATAATGCCCTCCATCACGTTGCTGCTGCCTTCTCTGCAGGAGGCTTCTGAGATGAGAGTCAGAATAGGGAGGGACCCCTGCTCAGCTCCTGAGCGTGAGAGTCTGCACTGCCCAAGGCTGCCTCTACCTCTGTCGGCTCCTTGCCCTCCTGTAGGAGACCGTTCTGCGTGGTGTGGGCCCAGCTCCCACACGGAGATGCACAGGACCCACACCCACGGATAGGTTCTCCCGTGGGGAATCGGGCCTGCAATGTACCTAGGCTGCTTTGAGTCTTGCTTTTTGCTAAAAACTCCCTCACCCTGAATGGACACAGCAAGTGCTTCCTGTAACTTCCTAAAATCGATGCTAAACCTTCCCAGGAAGAGTGTAACAAGTTCAACCACATTTCCCTTTTCATTTGCAAACATCCCTCTTCTGTGATGTGATTAGCGGCATTGACTCCTTTGTTCTCTGTAAAAGGTAACCAACTAAAGCCAGCCTGTGCATAGTGAATGAGGACCATCAGGTAATGTGCAGAGAAAAAGAAATAAAGGCAAGTCATGGCTGAGGCCACGGCTTTTTGCTCCCTGGAGAGCAAAGCCGCTGGTCCTTTTCCTCCACAGGACTCGGTGGTCCGTGTGACTGTCTCTCCTCATCCACAATATCTTGGACCCCATGAGCCAGGGTCTGCGTCCTCCTCCCCCTTTCTTTCTAGCTCATCTATTGCCATGGACTTTCATGCTTCTCCAAATATTTTTCTATTAAGCAGGGAACTCACTGATAACCCGTATTTCCTTTTGGTCTTAGAAACGTTTACCTTCACGTCCCCTTTTGGCTTTCACTCATCAAACATGTTTAACACATAGTGTGTTTTCAGTAATATTGTTGTGTGCAACATGCACCAATGCGTACAGCAGAGAAAGCAAAGGAATGGCTCCTTCCTCCGGTTAAGATCTTCAGTGCCTGGCCCTTTCACGTGAGTGGAGTCCTGAGTGCTTCAGTGAACTTATTAGAAACCCCTGCTGTAGCTGGTGCGTGGAATTCTGTAACACTTCTGGTGCATGAACTGTAGAACTACCCTGTTGGGTATTATGGGCTGTGCCATAGATACAACTCCAGTCAGGGGCCTCACGGACGGATGTAGGGAGCCTCTAGCTGGTTGAACCTGTTGTCCCCACCGCTTCCTGGCTGGGCCGGCGGGTTTGTGTAGAGGGAGGCAATGACTTTGCAGGGCTGTGTCTCAGCTGCTGGCACAGAGATACACGGCAGAGTCACCGAGCTCCAGGGACTTGATGTGAAGTTTCAAATGAGCTTTGTCAGGAGATTCTGGTATGAAGCGACTTGGAACCGTCTCATTTAGAAACGGCTCCTTGTTGTTGTAGGCAAACATAACCTTCAGCAGCTGCTTGGAGTCTTGCTTATACCAGTACATAGCATCGTGGCCCAGCTTCTGTTCACATCTTAGTGACTTCGTATCCCCTGCCCGTGCAACAAGGTATTTTGGAGTCTGAAAAACTGCTGCGTCCAAGGGGCCTGAGAAGAAAAGAGGCAGAAATCAGACAAGACCCAGGATGCAGCCTGCTGCCATTTTTGCGAACACGTTAGAGACTCCGAGTGCGTCCTGTCACCTGACTCCACACTCACCTGCTCCCAGGAGGCAGAGGGCCACGCAGCAGAGGAGCCTGGAGCCCATGGTGTGTTCAGGGCCCACGGGCAGGGCCCTAGCGAAGGGTCTTGCCTCCGGTGGTAAGAAGACCCGGCTGCAGCACCCCACTGTCCCAGCTCAGGCTTTGCTGTGATGTCACAGCCTAGAACAATTTCCCCATCCTCAGGCTCTCCTCAAATGGGTTCTCTTCTTTCTTCACGTCCTGCCCTTGCTCCTTTCAAAGGAGTTTCAACTTGTACTGCTTTCAAAGGACTTTGGGATTTCTAGGGGTAGCTGAGGGGGGTGGACACGTTGTCTCAAGGATGTTCACCTGACGTCATCCCTGTGCCAGTAGCTGCCTCCCTCCCCTGTCCTTGCCCCTGCATCTGGCCACCTCCTCCCTCCCCGCCCCTCCTGCAGGCAGCCTGGTCTCCTTCAGAGTAATGCAGGGCGACCGCACTCACATCTTGGCTCCCTGCAACGTCGGATTTACGCTCACACGTTGTTTCAGCTGTGGGCAGAGGGCGGCCCTGAGGTCTCCCCCGAGAACCAGCAGAGACCATTTCATTGGCGTGAACCGATGGTGGTTAGGAGCAGACCCTGTTCACGGGCCCTCGAGGGGGATGAGCCGAAGCCCTGCGGTTTTTCAGCCTCCGCAGTACTGACATATGGCTCAGGATAACTCCTCCCTGTGGGGCTGTTGTCCTGGAGGAACAGGATATTTAGTAGGATCCCTGGTCTCTATCCACTACATGCCAGTGGCACTCACTGCCCACCCCCACTTATGCCAACCAAAACTGTCTCGAGATTCTGCTAAATTATTTTCCTGGAGAAAGAGCATTCTCTTCATTCCTTCCTTCTGTCCTTGACCAAGTGGGGCCACAGCGCCTCCTGGTGGTCAGCAAAACGCAGTTCTCACTCTCAGGGCCCACTGGGCCAGGTTCCAGCCCTTATAATCCCAAATCAGCACGGACCAAGGGTGAGGCTGGGAACCAGGTCTACCACCTACAGGGGAGGCATCTTACACGCACAATTCGGCAACACTGTCAATTCCTGGTGGGAACTCCTTCAAAGAGCCTGCAATGGTTCACATTTTCTTTATCTGAACACAGAGCAAGGTCTGGAGATACAGGAGTAAACCAATCAGGTGCAAATAGTAAAAAGCAAACAAACTGACAGGAGGCTAGATGTAATACTTGGAAGATATGTGAAGACTGTGAAGGTATGAAGTGTAACCATTGTTAACAAGTAGATTCTGGGGAATTATACTTCAGCGTTTTTTGCAAGAGCTCTTGAAAAATCAGCTGCGCCTCATCCAACGAGATGCCCGTGAGCCCGCTGTAATGAAATGTGAGCTGCCGACTTAAGGTCAGTTCCGTCTGTTTTACATTTGTTACAGGAGAGGTAGAAAAGGACAATTTTTTTGTAGCCTGTCAAGAATTGCCCAAAGGATAGGACGGAATAAGGAAACGGTCCTCTGACCCCTCTTTGCTGAGCTGGAGAAGGGGAAGCCTCCACAGGAAGAACGCACGGCTGGCACTGGGGTGCCTGGGCAGTGCCAGGGTTCGGTCACAGCAACAAAGTAAAGGGGAGGGGAAACTGCAAGAAAATTAGCGTGAGGATAACTGGATCCACGAGGAGCTGGGGAGGTGGCAACCGGTGCGGCGCGGCTCAGAAGGACCTGGGGCCAAGGGGCAGGGGGCTGGGCGACAGCAGGATGCACATGTGGACGGCGGCCCTGCTTGGGGCTGCCCGATATTCACACCTCTGCTTGTGTTCGGACACTTCCCCGAGGTCTGGGTGTTCCCGGGAAACGGCTTGTGTGTTGGTTTGTTTAAAAGTCTAATCTGAAGCCCTGGCTGGCGTAGCTCAGTGGATTGAGCGCGGGCTGGGAACCAAAGTGTCCCAGGTTCGATTCCCAGCCAGGGTACATTCCTGGGTTGCAGGCCATAACCCCCAGCAACCGCACATTGATGTTTCTCTCCCTCCCTCTCTCTCTCTCTCTCTCTCTCTCTCTCTCTCTCTCTCTCCCTCCCTCCCTCCCTCCCTTCCCTCTCTAAAAATAAATATTTATTTAAAAAAAAAAGTCAAATCTGCTTTCTGTTCTAGAAACAAGACCTGCATCCTTGCTTCTGCCATGTGTGACTTCAACAAAGACATGGCTCCGCCTGGCAAAGCCGCCTCCTTCCCCCAGCTCCCGAGAGCCCAGCGGGAAGCCAGGCTGTGTGCTCCGGGGGGCGGGCACGGGAAGGGAACCTCTTGTGCCCAGTTCTGTCACACTGAGTTACTACCTGGGCACAGAGTCCCAGGGAGGTGCCACTTCCATCAGACTCTCCCTCGAGGCTGGTCAGAACTGGTTTCTAAAACTAGGACCACGACCCCTCTTCCGTCCTGCTCAGCTGGCTGCTGGTTCCTGCCGGCTCTGGCCCTGAAAGAAATCCCCTTTCTGTCTGATAAAAATACAAAAGTCCACATACACATCGACTCTTGAAGTCACATGCCTGCAGGCAGGCCCATGGCCCTTGGTTTTCCCAAAGAAAATCCAGATCCAAACCAGATGGGGTGGGGGGGGCTGCTGCCCCGGGTCCTTCACCTCCATAAACCCTCAGTTGACGCTGTCGCCCTGTTTAGCTGCTGAAGTCTCGTTTAGCCACTTAAAATACTTATGCTGACGATTTCTATTGGATTGTCAGTGTTTAATCTTGAAGTCATTTGAATGTAGCATGAGCAACAATTAACAAAAATTAAATGTAATACTGTGATGCACAGGCTTTATTAACTTTCAAACACAATTACATGTCACCTGATTTTTTTCTAAATTTGGAAGAAGCTGTAGGCGTTTTGTGGCGTGAAAAAGATCCGGGGGGACTCTGACTTCCCAAGCCTTACGTTCAAGTTAGTCTCAAAGAACATTCAATATTGAGTTTAGAAGTATGAAGTGTGTGTTTCTGCGTTTTCTGATGTTTATAACTTCCAACCGATTTTGAAAGTGACTCATAATGATAGGGGCTTAAGACTTGGGAAAATTTAGCTTAAGGTAAATAGTCATAAATCTAGCAAGTAATGTGTATGTCAAGTTTTTGTTTCAGTAACTACAGATAAGGCCTATCCTGGCGCCTAAGAATAAGCAGATGACCTCCTGGAGACATCTGTACCAGGAAGAAGCAAGGGACTACCCTTCCCCCCTTGGAGGCAACTGCTGAATTTCAAAAGTTTTCGCTGACACCTTGTTTACCCTCCCCCAACCTCCTTATAAAAAATCTGACTGGGAAAGAGAGTAAGATGGTTTGTTAGGGTATGAACCCCCCATCTTCTCGGATCGCCAGCCATCTGCATAAAGCACCTATAAAAGATTCAGTCACTGTCATGGCTTATTGGATTTGGTAGTGACAGGCATCCCGAACGCCGGTGTGTTTTCTGGTTACAATAACACAGACAGCTAAGAAATTTAGATTCACATGTAGGCAAAGGAGTTGGCTGTCTTTCACAGGTTCTTCTGTCCCATTCTAAGGTGAACTGCAAAATTACCCTTCGCAGAAGGGCTAACGGTTTTCCCAGGGAAGGAAAAAATGTGTGTCAGGCTCCCTGCCTGAGCTCCAGGAGCCTCCATCCCAGCCCCACGGCCTTCAGGTTGTCTCAGGAAAGCCCCTGCCTGCACCTGCCTGCAGGCTCCACTCTCCACCCACCCCCACCCCTTCTCCCTGCTCCCACGCAGGCCCACAGCAGCTGGTCTGGCAGTGCGGGCTCTGTGCTGGGACAAGAACACCTGCAGGTCCACACCAAGCAGAAGACTCTGCATTTAACCCCTCACATTGTGGCGCTGACTCCCAGCCTCTGCCAACCACATTCTCCAATATTGCAAGCAAAACCAGACTTTTCCTTAACCCTCTTCCATCCGTGGCGGGGGGGGGGGGGGGGCGGGTGTCCTCTCAACTGCTCCCTGCCCCTCAGTAGAGTCACAGCTCCTCCTTGTGGTCAAAGGGAAACCAAGTGTCAGGACCTGGTTCTCCCTTCGTGGAGACAGGAGGGTGGGAGGGGACTTAGAGGGAAGGACATGCAGTCAGAGGGTTGTAATTAGCCCCCCGCCCTCCCGTCTCCGAATGAAGTCTGTTGTCAGGATGAGGCTTACTGCTGTAGCTAGACAGGAGCCCTGCAATTCCTTAGTTAGCATTCTGTTCATACCAGCACATAAAATCGTGTCCCAGCCGTGGCTGGGGTGGCTCAGTGGATGGAGCGCCTGACTGTGAAGCAAAGGGTCGCTAGTTCGAATCCCAGTCAGGGCACATGCCTGGGTTGCAGGCCTGGTCCCCAGTAGGGGGCACATGAGAGGCAACCATACACTAATGTTTCTCTCCTCTTTCTCCCTCCCTTCCCTTCTCTCCAGAAATAAATAAATAAAATATATTTTTTAAAAAATCATGTCCCAAATGTCTCCACTTCCATTTCAGGCTGCTCATACTTGGGTACCATGTTCTGTCTGTCATCTCTCCTTTTCCCGGCTCTGTTCTCCGTCACCCCAGGGTTCCAGCCCCAAACCCCCAACCCCCCTCTCTTCTTCCTTTTCCCCTAAAACATGATTTGAAGTAAAGGCAATGGGGAGATATTCGTTTTAACGTTAGTAAGTTCATTTCAAGCCAGGCCCGGTTATTGAAACGGAGCCACCCTGCAGTTTCAAGTCTGGGTTCGGGGCACTGAAAGAGTTTCCTCTCCAGCTTCTAGAGCAGGGCCGACAAGCTGGGGCCCAGAGACAAGTCTGGCCCCCCCGCCCGTTTCAGCAGATGAAACGTTTTACACGTGGTCGCTCTCCTGTTTCAACAGCAGAGTAACTGTGACAGAGACCAGGCTGCCTGCAAAGCCTAAATTGTTTCCTATCCAACCCTCCACAGAACGTCACATGCAGCCAGCGTAGCAACGGCTCCCAGACATATGCCACCCTTGAGTGGGTTCTCGAGGAAACCCGGGTCTGGTTCCAGCCTCGACTTTACCCAGGAAGATCATTCTAGTCACTGATTTCTCACGCATGGCACAGGGCGCACATTCAGCTTCGACACGCAGGTCAGCATCGAGGTTATTCTGTGAGCATCTCCTTTATACCTTGGGGGTTTTCCCCCCTGGAATTTGCTGCCCTGTTTGCATCAGTTTTTTTTTTTAATAAGTTTCTTAGTACATGTTTTTTCAAGGAGAGGAATTCTCATTTTTTAAATTTTTGCGCAGGGGAGCCCCTGAGAGCCAGCACGGCCTCAGGAAACAGGGAGGGCAAACCAGGGAGGCGGCTGGGGAAGCTCAGGGAAGGGAAGAACTGGCTCCTGCAAGCGGAACGGCACGAAACTGCCTTCAGCGGCTGCTGAGCTGCTCCTCCCAGTACAAAAGTCAGTACCTTTGCTGGCGCCCAGTCAGACCGCAGCTTAGGGAAAAGCTAGTGCAGTTCTCCAAGGCCACTGAGTGACGTGCGTGGGAAAGAGAGGCGATAAGCGCAGATGAACTAAACACAGACCCACGCCTCTGGGCCCCCACGTGGTTGACGTGGGGAAGGGAAAAGCAGGCAGCAACACACTCCGCACAGGCAGAGTGCGGGCTTTCCCCCCACATGCAGCTGGCGGCTCTGTCTGCGGGAGGGGCCTGCGGAAGCAGACCCACACACCGTGGGGCATGTTCCGCGTCGGTGGTCAACGGGAATCCATCAACGTCACCAAGATCAGAAGTTTGGCTCACATCCAGCACAGGCAAGCGTAGTTTTTGAGTCTGGGAGCTGCTTGCGGCCCAGTTCTGCAGGGTCTGAATTCACAGGATGACCCACAGTATCTGAGAGGAGAAAGGCATTGTGTCGGTCTGGGCTCCTTCACAATCGTGCTGGGGTAGCTTCTTCAGACCTGCTCACCCGTCCACATCAATGACAAACCATGTACACAGAGAGACTCCTCGTGGGGACCCAGTTTTGCCTGGCCCCTTCGGCAGGGAGCTTCGTCCCAGTCACCTTCACTTAGAACACTAACTGCTTTCACCTGACACGCTGATGGGCTCTGCCCCATCCCCCTCCGCACAGGGCCACCACCCCCACCCCCACCACCAGCGATCTTTAATTTTCCCCCTCTCGTTTTGTCCAACCATCTGCCTAATGTGTGGCGTGCACATCACTAGCAATCTTCAATGTGATTTTATTTGTATTTATTTATGTATTTTAGAGAGAGAGGGGAAAGGAGGGAGAAAGACGGGGAGAGAAACATCAATCGGTTGCCCCTCATACATGCCCCAACTGGGGATCGAACCCGCAGCTTAGGCATGTGCCTTGACTGGGAATCAAACCTGCTGCCTTTCGGTCTGCGGGACCACGGCTCCAACCCAGAGCCACAGTGGCCAGGGCCAACATGATCTTACACAGTGCACAAAAGACCAGATTTATTTAAAGATCTATTTTATTAAATTGCATATGTTCCCATTAATGTGCATTAGGTAAAGATTCGCCAACACGCAAAACACCAATGTCTTTGCTTAAGGAGAGACCCGTGGCTGGGTAGGGAGGAAGTCTGTGTGAGTGTCAGAGTGTGACTGTGTCCCAGGCACCGTGAGAAGCAGCTTACGTGCTCTGTGCATGACAGCAGCAGGGGAAGAACCGGAGCCTGGATCCCATCCCTTGGCACTTCCCCCACATCCCCACTGCCGCTTTAGGTGACTGAACTGTCCCACTGCAGCCAGGCAGGCTCCCGGGCCTTTGCTTCGAGGTGTGACCTTGTGGACTTGCAATCGATCCTAGCTACCTCCCCTTACCTGGCAATCCCCACTCTCTCCCTCCCTGGAGGAAGGGGCGGGGGGTCCAAGTGATAAAGCCCAGCACACACGGGAGAGAACATTCTAGGACATGGCTACACACGGTCCAGCGATTGGGAAAACTCTGCTCTAAGATGTGGTGTTTCTCATGTCGGTGAAAATGTCCGGCAGGCTCAGGGGCAGTTTCAGGGGTGATGTAGAATCCGACAACTCCCCATAGTGCACCACGGGGGTGTCAGCAATGGAAGGGAACCAAACACGATAAGAAGTTGCTCCCTTTTTGCACCCAACCCTCCTCTTACCCCTTAGTATCTCCTGATTTTTAGGGACCCATGGAAAGCAGCTCGCTGCCTTGTGAACCACTCCTGCAGGAGTTACTGAGTGCCTGTAGTGTCCTGAAGCTAGAGACACTTCCCTGTAGAGCCTGAGAAACTCCCTTGCCCACCTTCTCTCAGCTGGGGATGATTTTGACCCCCAGGGGACATTTAGCAGTGTGTCTGCACACAGGTTTGGTTGTCATAACTGGGAGGAGGGGCCAGTGCTACTTATAACCCAAGGCCAGGACAGCTGATTAATACACCACAGTATGGCCCTGGCCCGAGTGGCTCAGTTGGTTGGAATGTCACCCCCGTGTACCAAAAGGTTGCAGGTTCAAACCCCAGTAAGGGCACGAACAGAAGGCAATCAGTCAATGTTTCTCTATCTCTTTCCCCCCTTCCTCTCTCTCTCAAATCAATAAATATGTCCACAGGTGAGAATTAAATATATATACATATGTTTAATATGGTACAGTGTGCAGGGCTGTTCCCCACAACAAAAAATTATGTGGCCCAAAATGTCAGTAGGGTTGAGAAACTCTTCTGGTAAATCATCTTCATACCAGCAAGATTTCACATGTAAAAGAAACAGGAACTGCTTCCAGAGGGATGATCTGCCACCTCTGAAGCAGTTGTCATGCCCTGGTAGGCCGTGCGCGTGTATCTGCGGATGTAGGAGCCACGGGTCCGCTCTCACTGAGAGTCCCATATTCTGGATACCCCCTCTGTGCCCCATGATTATGATGATTCCTGCTCCGGGAACCCATTTCTTGGGTTTCTCAGAATTCTATAGGCTCCCTGGGGTCATCCCTTAACTCGATAGAGTGCAGATTGTTCTGTTCGCTTGTGTTTATGGTATCACAGTGGAACACATGAACCTTAATACGAGGCTGCTCGAGTTTGAACCTCGTGGTGACCCCTTCGTAGCTATAGAACTTACCGCAAAACACAAAACTTCTCTAAGCCCCGCCCTCCTCACCATGAAAAAGGTAAAAATCACAGGCATAGTCATAAAGCTGCTGGTGAGGACTGGATGAACCGATGTATGGAGATCCTGTTCGTGGTGCTTGATGCACTGTGAGCACTCCGCAAATTTCAATCGTCTTATCATTGGCCAAGCATTCTGTCACCTTGGTCTCCAGATTTTGGTGAACTTACTGGGGAAGGGTTTCCCAGTGGTTAATTGCATGGACTCTGAAGCCCAGTTTCCTGGCTTGGGATCCTGACCCTACCATGCACCTGTTGCGTGATTTGCGTCAAGCTCCCTCTACTTTTGTGTATCTCCATGTTCCCATCTGTAAAGTGGGGATAATAATAAGTATCTGGTAGGGTCAGTATGAGCATTGCTAAATTAACCATAGGCAGAGTATTTAGAAAAGTCCTAATATATAGTAAGTTCTAGATACATGTAAGTTATTATTCTTTCACTCTCCTGTTTAGATCTCTTGTAATTGCAAATCAGAGTAATTTTTCTCTTCTCAGGGGAATAAGTTGCTTCTGTTAGTCATGAAAGTTAACATGGGTAGATGAGGCCAGAGCTGCCACAAGAAAAGTTACATGACTGCAAAGGAGTCAGAGTTAATTCAACCTCAAGGGTGCAGCGCACAAGGTCATCTGCAGGATAAAGGTTCGCAGCTGGCAAAGGAACAGCCAAGCGCCCAAGACTTTTGCCTGGGAATCAGGACACCTGCAGCCCTGTTCCGAGACCTTATTTCAACTTACTTTTCTATTACAGGGAACAGCTCCCACCAGCTGGGGTCTTCACTTTCATTCCCATAACCCTTTGGAAAAAGTGGTTCATGTTTACATTTCATGCTGAGTTATCTTCAGTTTGATACAGAACTGAATTCTAAACGGGGATTTGTGAGCTGCCCGTGAAATCACGTGTCTGGCACCCGTGGCCATGGTGGCGATGACCAGCCTGCAGATATAAATAGTGGACGAAAGCCCTTCTCGTCCAATGCGCATCCAGACCTAGTGAGCAACCATGAAGGCCTTCATCTTCCTCGCTCTCCTGGGAGCTGCTGGTGAGTCTCTGTAGCTAAATGAATCCATAGGAGTCCAGCACGTATTGGAGCTTGCACACCACACTCTGTTAGACAAGGAATGTTGAATATAATCTCTTTTGTACTCAAGAATCTTAAAATGCTGAGACAGCAAGTGCTCAGTCCATATGTCTACATGGACACATAAATCCCACTTGTTGGGGAGAGATCGCCGAGTGGAAGTGACCAGGGTAGAGCAGGCAGAAAGAGGCGGAACCTGCCCTAAGGTTGAAGGTAAACTCTATGAAGGGGAGAGGAAAGGGAAGGATAGTTAATAGCGAGGAAATGCGCCTCTGACCTTGCTAAGGATTTGGAGTTCACAGCCAGGACTGATGACAAGTCTCGTGCCCCTTGCAGAGGTTGGGAGGGTGAGACCCTGAGTCTCCTCTAGACTAAAGGGCACCTTAGCAGGGGCCATAACAGGCCCAGATATTTTACCTCTCATGAATGAAAGCTATGGGCAGGGTTTTACACCTCTGCTAACTAAACCTCTCCACTGTAAAAGTAACACGTTAGTCAACCATCAAATGAGATAGAGAAATGACTATTTTTAAACTACTGAATTTCCCCAAATTGGGCATGTGTAAATTCCATACAGTGGTCTGTATGCCCAGAGATGTCTTTCTCAAAAAGACTTTAAAGTACATGGGCAACAGGGCACATATAATACAATGAAATACTTTTGGAGCCATAAGAAATTGTAGTATATCTGAATCAATTGAAAAATGTTGGAGAGATCATTGGGGTTGGGGAGAAAGGTAGGAGATGGAAAACTTCCAATGTTCTATAAAATTATTTTGTGAAAATTTTAGGTGAGAACCTAAAAGAGAATTTCCGGCATGGTGGAGGGGGATGGAAGTACAAAATTCCCATTTTTCTTCTGGGACAGCACATTCTCAGCTGGTTTCAAAAACTTTCCTTCTATTACCTCCTGGGCATATGTATCCTATCCTATGCCAACCACTGCAGACACACATAACCCTGGGTATTGCAAAGCTTCACTGCACACCTGTTTGCATGGCTGCTGAGCACAGCTTTATTCTTAGGTAGCGGGGTTTGGGACATTTATTATGTAAACAGTCTCCTATCTGTGTGTGGGGGGGGCATTACATATGAACAACACAGTTTATTTATCAAATTTAAAGCATAAACTAAAAATCATGTCCATTATCACCATTTCCTGATTATGTGTGACAGGAGAATATTGTTTGATCTTTTCCGGTTAATCTGCAAATCCTTGGAGGTGAGTCCAAATGCCAAGATGGACCTGTTTAACAGGTAGTTTTCCAACTTTCCCCTGTCAGTCGCTTTCCCCAATGACGATGACGACAAGATCGTCGGGGGCTACACCTGCAAAAAGAACACCATCCCCTACCAGGTGTCCCTGAACGCTGGCTACCACTTCTGCGGCGGCTCCCTCATCAACGACCAGTGGGTGGTGTCTGCGGCTCACTGCTACAAGTCGTAAGTAGCCAAGGCTCACCTACCTCCCTGTGCTTAGAATCAACTCGTCCCCCAGCCCTGCCACAGCCCGAGCGGAGTAACCAGCAGAGTTAGGATTCAGGGGCGAACATGCATGTTCTAGGAACGTCATTGTTGCCCCAGGCACTGAACAATGTGTGGAGGGACTTTCACGTGGTGGGTGCCCTTAGAGTGCCCTGATGACCTCCCCAACAAGGACGTGGGAGGGGCATAGGGCGTGGAGAAGTACACACGTACAACTAGCTTGAGAGCGTTAATCCTCATAGCTCACCCAGACACAAGGCCCTATGGACGTGAGAAAACACATGAAATTTCCAGGACATTGACAATAAGCAAGCTCCTTCTGCTCTCGTGACTCTGATTGCTGCCGCGCCTCCCCACAATAATTGGTCATTTAAACCAGGGGAGGTTTCCCTGATCTCCCGTGGTCTCACTGGTGTCATTCGGTTCCCATTCCTATGCCTCACTATTGCAACAAGAGCAAGGCTGTGAGTCCGTGCCTGCAGGGACACTCACTTAAGCGATACTCTAACTGCACCGAGTCTGCTGGGACGGCCTTCCGTGTACAGCTACCTGTGTGCGTGAATGCCAGAAGGGGGTGGTGTCTGTGCACATGCCCGTGACTGGGGTTCGCCAGGAAGGGGGAAAGCTCAAGTTAAAAACTTAGAGAACGTTGAATCCTTTCACCCAGCCGCATCCAGGTGCGTCTGGGAGAGTACAACATCGAACTTGTGGAGGGCAACGAGCAATTCATCAATGCTGCCAAGATCATCCGCCACCCCAAATACAATGCTAGGACCATCGATAATGACATCATGCTGATTAAACTGAGCTCGCCCGCCACCCTCAACTCTCGCGTCTCCACTGTCTCTCTGCCAAAAACTTGTGCAAGTGTTGGCACTCAGTGTCTCATCTCCGGCTGGGGCAACACCCAGAGCGTCGGCAGTAAGTGTCCCACGAAACACGAGCACCAGGTCTGAGAATCCTGGGGGTCAAGGGCATGTGGGGGGTCAGTTAGTCCAAACTGCTGCTCGAGACAAGGTTCCCAGAGGGAGTCCGTGGACATAAGGAGCCTTAGAATATATTCATGGGAATGAGGAAGAGTCCTTTGCTGAAAAACGCAGCACAAATGACCTGTAATAAAGATGCCAGGTAGTCGATGGAAGTGAGTAGTGATTTGCAGAGAACTGGGAACTGGGCGGTGAACAGAGCCGAGGCTAAGGGGTTTGGAGCTGCCTGAGGCAAAGACCTGCTTGAGAAATGAAGCCTCTAGATTTGAGATCTGTGGTCACAGATGCTGGTCTCAGAGAGGAAACAGCCTGCTGATCAAAACTCTTTGGAAGGCCTTCCAGATAAAGGTTGTTCTTCCAAAGCAGAAGTTACTGGCCCCCTGGATGAAAGCGTGGCAGCATTGGGAAGGAGGGGAGAGACCGTGTGACAGAAATGTGCCAGGAATCCTGCGGATAACCTTCTTCCGTTTTCACTCCCGTGCCCAACAGCTAACTACCCCGAGCTGCCACAGTGTCTGGATGCCCCCATCCTCTCCGACAGCGCTTGCCGCAATGCCTACCCAGGCGAGATCACCAACAACATGATGTGCCTGGGCTTCCTGGAGGGTGGCAAGGACTCTTGCCAGGTGAGTTCCTTCACTTTCCTTCTCTTTCCGACTCCACCTCACCCACCTCCACCCAATTTTCCCTCTCCTGGAACGCAGAACACTGAGAGGCTTTCTCTGGGACCGATCATGAGGGCTGAGGGGTAGGCTTGTGACAAATGACCTTTATTCCTTTTGCCATATGAATGGTACGAATTAGGGGTAAAAAGATGCACTGAAGATGATGTGCAAATAGGACATCCGAGGCGCCCTCCGGAGAGGGCCGACTGTAGAGGGGCGCTCCCTGAAAGGAGCAGGGCTGGCAGGGCAGCCTTATACTGGCCCATCCCCACCTCTTCTTGGACAACTAAGGAACCAGAAGGGTCTAGGAGGAAGGAGGAGGAAGAATGGGGATACGGTACGCAGATGGAGGCTTAGATGTCCAGTGGGGAGAGAAGGGACTTTATGCAGGACCAGCAGCCTGAAGGGATGGCCCCCGGACAATGCAGGGGCATCGAGCCTTTACCCATCCGGGCATGGCTGCGAGTTCTGAGTGGCTTCTCCCTCCTGCTCAGGGTGACTCCGGCGGCCCCGTGGTCTGCAAGGGCCAGCTGCAGGGCATCGTCTCCTGGGGCTACGGCTGCGCTTTGAAGGGCAAGCCTGGCGTGTACACCAAGGTCTGCAACTACGTGAGCTGGATCAAGGACACCATCGCTGCCAACTAAGTGCACCTCCGCGCCAGACAACGTCTCCTTCTTCCCATGCCCGAACACAGTGCCTAAATAAAAACATTCTGTCCCGCATCAAATACGTCCGAGAACTGGCCTCATTGGTATTCATCCGCTTTCTCTTGAAACTGGCTGCTGCGCCAGAGGGTGGACATAGAATGGAACTATTATATGAGGGTAGGATTTGAAAGGTTGTTTAGTTATGTATTCACCTAATCAGAATAACTTCACTGCTCACCTACTCTATGCCAGGCTGTATGGGACACGGAGCACACAGAGATGAATAAGGGGAGGGGTCGCTGTCACCATCACATTTTTAAACAGACAGTGACACTACAAGGCAGAAAGGTAAAATCGCCCTCCCGAAGTTACTCGGCTAGTGCCGGGGAAAGCTGGGAGGAAGCCCTGGCTGTCCTCATTCCCCAAGCGTCCCTCCAGCTGCCACCCTGCGCTCTCGCTATGCTTTTCTCTAATCTCCATGCAACTCTGCGAGGCTGGAGCACAAACATCTCCAGAAGGAGAAAGCTTTTAAAATCTCAGAGTTCCTGCATTATTCAAGATTTCACCTATTTATATGCCGGCTGTCCAAGATCTTTCTTCTTTTCTAACTGGGATTTCATTGCTATAGCGGGCATGATGCCTACGGCAATTTGGGCCCCTCTTCCAACACCAGTCTCTCCAGCCTCCAGCCCACATTACGTTGTAGTATTTTGAACTGTATGCAAAAAAAAAAAAGTGTGAATGCAGATAAGATTGCAGAACATAGATCTATTACTTTAAGGTCACAGAAGTCTTGGTGAAAGTGAGCAGATATTCGTCCTGTCAGTTCCATCTGGAGAGGCAGCACGGGCAGCCTGCTTTAGCTCTGCAACGGCCTCCCCAGCTCTGGGTTGTTCCACCGTCACCCAGAGGATGGTTGGGAGCACGAGTCCCAACGCACGGTTTCTGGGCATATCTGGCATGGCTCAAGGAGAAAGACACAGGAGATCTGAGCATGGAAATGCTGGAGTAGGTGGGGGAGGTTTGAAAGGGGAAAATGTCTGTGGTCCCAGTGGGCAGGTGAAGGAGAGCTGTGCCTTCATCGGCATGGGCTGCTGTCACCAAAGAACTGTAGACTTGGTGGCTTGAACAACAAACAATTTCTCACAGTTCTGGAGGCTGGGAAGTCCAAGATCAAGTGCCAGCAGGAAGTGGTAAGAGCCCACTTCCTTATAGACAGTTACCTTGTCCCTTCTCTTCACATGGCTGAGACAGCTAGTTCTAACGTCTTCTTCTTATAAGGACACCAGTCCCATCATGGGGATTCCACCTGCATGACCTCATCCAAACCTAACTACCTCCCAAAGGCCCCAACTCCCAATACCGACCCTCTGGGGGTTAGGGCTTGAACTTAGGAATTTTGGGGGGACACGAACAGTCCACAGTGGGTATCGTGGGGGAGGAGAGTATAGGAAGACACGTGTCCCCATAATAAATTTTCTATCCCTTTGTAACTCAGGGTGGTATACTTGTAGAGAGTAACCCTGACCCCTTAACATCGCCTGTTGCTGCCGTTAGGATAAAGTCCAAATTCCTGAGCTCTGCATTCAAGGGTCTTGAACATTTGGTCATAATTAATGGGCCTTGTCTTACTTCCTTACTTCTCATTGAGTTGCTTCTATATTTGCATTTGGCCTAAATTACTTACATCTATAGCTTCTCTTTATTAAAGTAAGGAGCCTTAGACCTACTCAACCAACACATCAGGCTTCTCCCCAGAAACAAATGAGTTAAAAGATGCCCGTTCCCTCTGAAATGGGTTTCCACCTACCTCACCCCCATCCTCAATATACAGCTCTGCACCGAACCACCGCGGGCAGAGGGGACACTCAGAGGCAGGATAAGGGAGATGCGTAGCAGAAGAAAGACCAGGGCAGCACAGAGAAAAGTATGAGAGGACAAATGAACCATGTTTCTTGGTGCCACCCACAAGCCCCTTTTCAGCACATCTCGTCACTTTCTATCTCTTTTGTTTAAAAGCCGTTCACAACTTGTGAATGTATATTAAGGTGGAAGTCTGTATGCTCTTTAACCCAGGAATCAGCTTCTAGAAATCTATCCCATTAACATATGCATATAAAAATGTAGAAATGTGACTGTATGCTTTAGGAATCACATGGCTGCAAGGAAAAGAATATCCAACCCTCACAGCCTTAAAAAATGCACTAATAAAAGTTTAGAATTAGGGAGCCCTTCAAGGACGGTCTGATCCCAAAAATGTTATCAACAAAGAAAGTGCGACCCACTTTCTTTACGTCTGCCCTCCGAGTTACTGCCAGCTTTGCCCTAAGAGTAAAGTCTCAAGGGAATGCTCTCCCTGGTGTGCATGTAGGGAGAGAAAGAAACAGAGTGACTCCCAGAAGGTCTAAGAGGCTTCCTTTCCCAGGAGCGCCCAGCGGATACTGCATGGTATCGCCTTATAGGAATTTGGTCTCTTACAGATCCCTAAGCCATTCGTTAAATGCGATTACGCTATTAACTTACAACTGAGTTTCACAGTTTACCATCTGAGTGAGAGGTGGACCCTTCGCTCTGGGATAGACATGACCTACATGGTACACGGTTGGTTAACAAAATAATTGAAGGGTAGTAATGAAGAGGAGGAGGAGTAGGTGTTAAGAAGGCAGCCACGACCTCCTTTGGTATAATCCAGGATGTCTCTCAGTGCATTGTCTACCTAACCCTGAAATTCCAGCAACAACGCACATATCTATTAACAGAGCATTGACTAAACATACCCGGTGTGTCCTGTGGGGGACTCAATGTAACTCTTCTCTCCATGTATCTGAGCCTTTACTCCACACACAATTATCGAGGGCCTGTTGGCTGCCTGACCCTGCTTGAGGCACTAAAGATATATTAGAGAAGAACACAGTCAAAGTTCTGTCTCCACGGCACGTGCGTGCTCACTGGGTAAACCGGAAACAAACAGAGGTTACAGACTGTAAGGCTGATCAACGCCCACGCCCCCGGGGCAAACTGGGGAAAGGAGTGGATGAGGGGAAAGCAGATCTGCTCCTAACGTGCCGCGAGAAGCATCAAGACCTATGGAAACAGTACGATTTAGAATAAAAGCCATTTTGTAGCCAGAAGAGAGAGCTCGGACCAAAATGAATTTACTACAAATAAATACTGAATTTCTGGTTCAGAAAGATCCAGAAAGACATAGTATTTTTGTAGCAAAACTAAGGAAATGTAACGAGGGAACAGTCTGAGATTAGGGACAATGCAGAAAGATTAAAAGATTTGTTTTTGTTGTTGTTTGTTTTTGTTGTTGTCTAATTATAGTAACAGGTCAATTTACTTATCACTTGCTCCAGAAAATTCTGAGGGAATGGCTCTCACCTGTCAACTTCGAGGTTAGGACCTTTTTCAGGCATGAAAGATAAAGCAGTATCAGCACGTGGAAGCTTAGCTGTAATTTTTTTTTTTTCACGTAGGCTGTATACACTGGGTAGAAGGAATTTACGTCTACTCGGCACACTCCATAACCTAGTCTCTCAGTAGAGGAAGCTCTGCTGAACTGGGGACGCCTTCAACTGCAGGCGTGTGACAATTCTGAATCCCCGCCTCCAGGAGGAAGGGTGCTCTGGGCCCTGCTGGGGCCGAACACACAGTCTGAGGGCCGGGAATGCGCTGAGGGACTGCCCCTTGGCAGAGTCCAGGGCGCACTGCTCGCTTCTGCAGAGAGGCAAATATGAACGAATAAGCACAAGCATTTCAAAGGACTTTCTCTGTGCCACATGCTATGTTTGTGCTTTTACATAACATTTAATTCGTTAATCCTCACAAGTATCCTATGAAATAGGTACTAACATTTCTCTCATTTTGTAGTTTAGAATCCTGGGGCTCACGGAGGTCCCGAGGCTGGGATTGCAGCCTAGAAGTCTGACTCCGTGTTCTCTGCTCTTTGCGGTTATGTTAACAAACATGAAAATGCTGCAAAGATTTAAGGACTTCACAACAATCCCTGGCCACTCAGATAAAAAGATGTCCCCAGAAGCCTGGAAAACATGGGGATCCTAAGGTTACAGCTATTTTATTTCACAAGCATTGATATAGCATTTGCTATTCGCCACTGTTCGTCACCATTCTAAGCACTTTAGAAACGGAAAATCTGAACAAATAACCAGCAAAGAGACGGCAGTGAGCAAAAACAAACAAACTCCCAACACAGAACACCCAGAGACAGACGGCTTCGCTGGTGAATCCTACCAAATATTTGAAGAATTAACACCAATCCTTTTCAAACTCTTCCCCCCAAAACTGAGGAGAGACCCCTTCCGATCTCATTCTATGGGGCCAGCACTACTGAGACCCCAAGGCCAGAGAAGGACACCGCAGAAGGCCATCTAGGGGTGTCCAACATTTGGCATCTCTGGACCACGCTGTGAGAAGAAGAGTTGTCTTGGGCTACACTTAAATACATTGCGACATATAATCACACACACACAAATCTCATAATGTTTTCATTTACGATTTTGTGTTGGGCGGCATTCACAGCCGTCCAGGCCCACATGTGGCCTGCAGGCCGCAGGTTGGACAGACACCCCTGCATAGCCCTGATTGACCCCACTGTTTTCCCTCCCCGGGGAGGGGCATTGGAAAGTTTGCATGTAAGGCTAACTTACAAAGACGAGCGTGGTGCATCAGAAAGAGCAAGCGTCAAAGACACCTGAACAGGTAAAAGGTTCGATTTTACTCAGACTCTTGCAATAAGAGGACATTCTGGACTCAAAGAAAATCTCTCAGCAGGATGGTTTTGCCTCAGATTTTTATCGGGAGAAACAGACAAGGTGCAGGCGGGGAGATCCACGGGGGGCTGTTTTGCAATCAGGGCGCTCCTCGGCCAGCCGTCTATGTTCGGCCAGTTTCCAGGGAAACAACTCTAAGCTCAGCTAATCATTCCTGAGGCAAAGAATGAGGAGCTGGAGGGTCTGTTTCCCGTCCAGGGCAAAGGGGGAAGGTCTGCGCTTGACCTTGTCCCTGGGAACCAAGGAGTCATCTGAAGTCTCAGGGGAGCCTCGAGAGTCTCTTCTAACTCACATGGGGAAGGGTATTTCTTCGTGGCAAGCTGTTTGCCAGCATGCAAAACTCCCAGGGGACATTTTTGCCCCCTGCTGTCCTCTGGGGGCCCAGGGCTCCGGCACGGGACAACCTGTCCGAGGACCTCTGCAGACTCGGGTCCAAGTCCTGACGCTGCACCGACTTCCCTGCGGACCACGGCGCCCTCATCTCTAAAACTCGGGGGCGGGGGAGGGGATGATTGATTAAATTTGTTTCCTACCCCAGTGTTTCATGCGTCTGTGAGACGGCTCTCTGAGGGCCTCTGGGGAAGGGGAGGTGGCAAGTGAGGGCGGGGAGAGAGGGTGGCGGTCACAAAGACAGGAGGGGACAACAGAGAAAGGCTATGTCACAGAGAGGGGAGGGAAAGTGTCAGCAGACACCTCACCACCTGGGAGATTTTTAGGGGCAGAGAAGAGGCACCAGGGGCTTGATGAGTGGGCTCCTTCCTCTCTTCCACCCACAGCAGACACGGCTCCCAGCTCCTGGCTTTTGTCCTACAAAGGGTTTGCATACGGACTAGTTTGAAGACTCCTGTAAGATCCCTGCGTCGCCCCCAGCCCTCAATTAAAGTTGCTCCCCAGCTGTTCTTAACGGAGACACTTGGAGCAAAGGCTGGAATTGTTTCCAGTTTGAACCCACGTGTCTGCTCCTGGTGAGATCGCGGCCACCATGAAGCACTGTCTCATCGTCACCCTCCTGGGCGCGGCTGGTGAGAGCCTGGGCCGTTGCTGCTGCCTTGGGAGAGATGGGTTGGGGGGGAAGGGTCAGAAAGGGAAGTAGCTGGCCACAGTGCAAGGGCTAGGAAGCTGAGGGCATTTCCTTCAAGTGACTGATGAAGGAAACAGAAGGAACCACACTCGCTTGGGGGCACAGCCCACCCCATCAGCACTCTCCCCACGCCCTCCGAGGCCCGGGAGCCTGTTAGATGTGTCCCTGGTAAGTGCCTGACTCTTGAGAGTGGTGTGTGCTGACGGCCTCGGTTCCTGCACGGCCACAGGGGAAGGAGGCCTTCCCTCAGCGTGGGCTGCAGGGGCTGGAACATGGGAAGCCTCGTGGCCCCTCCCCAAGCTTGTCCATCCCTTTGGTTACCAGGAAACCCAAGTCAGGGGGCTCCCCCTCCTAAAAGATGTTACCGGGGAGACCTGAGTCAGGAGGTCCCCCTCCTCAGTTCTTCCCTTGCTCACCAGAGAAGAGCTCAGACGAGAGACAAGCACGTATAGTGGGAAGGAGAGCAAGTTTGTTTATGGAACATGTACAAGCCCGAAGCTGCAAGCAGGCACCCGGCTAGTCTGAGTGCCCCCCCGCCCCATGGAGGAAATAAAATCATTAGTGAGTTTGGTTTTAAGTTTATTAGTAAGTTTGTTCTAGACACTTGAGCACCTGGCAACAAGTGGGCCCTCAATTAATCTGAGTGTGCTGACTATTGGGGTTCAGGGGTGATGTACTTCAGTCAGTGCCTAAGTTCCCCTCTTCGTCCCACTTCTAGACCTTGGGCTTAACCCACAGTTTTGAAGGTTTTCTTTCCCAGCTAGTGGAGACGACATCTAAGAATTTTGAGGGCTCCTCTCCTCCTGAGCTATTACAGTGTTGCTTGTGATTCTCAGAGCACCTGGCCATTGTATCGGACCGGGCTCAGGACAGCTGGGTCAGCGGGTGAGACGCGTCTCCCCTTTGTCTCCAGCCTCCCGTGTTAAGTTCTCGTTAGACTGTCGTGACAAGGGGCCCCGCCTTCTTTCTCCTCCGGCCGCTCCTTCCCAGCTGCTGCCTAACACTTGCACCTGCAAAGTCAGGGAGCATTTAACTTGTTCCTTCCCTGCCTGGCAGGGACAGGTGTCGGTGTCCTTAACGTGGGTGGCTTGAGTGGCACACTTGGTTCTCCCTGATTTTTAAGATGAATATTGAATATAATTGGAAGACCTCGAAAATACCTTCGAAAACCTTGGGCTGGGAAAAACTACCCTGGCCGACACTCAACTCTCAACCTCGTTGTCTCTCTTTCCTACCTATGAACGCATCCATTCTTTAGCAGTCGTTCTGGCCAAAGAGTCTAAAAAGGAAAAGTTGAGCTCACCAGGCGAGTTTACTATTCCTTACTTGGCCTACCTGCAGGCCAGCCCGGAACCCTGCGTGGGGTCTCTCATCAGCCCCGAGTGGATCCTGACGGCTGCTCACTGCCCCTTACCGTGAGTATCCCTTTGCTCGGGAGCCAGGAGGGGTGCGGTTAAACAAAAGGGGGTCTGGTGAGGCATTCCAGCACGTGCTAATGGCATCCTAAAGGAATATGAGGCCCCAGCAAGAGAGAGGATCTTCTTCCCAATGGGGAAAATCATACACATTTGTCAGTTTAAGAGAGGTCAGTAGCCCTGGCTGGTGTGGCTCAGTGGATTGAGCGCCGACCTGCAAATCAAAGGGTCACCGGTTTGATTCCCAGTCAGGGCACGTGCCTGGGTTGCAGATCAGGTCCCCAGTAGGGGGCGTGTGAGAGGGAACCACAAGTCGATGTTTCTCTCTCTCTCTCCTTCTCCCTCTCTAAAAATAAATAAATAAAGTGTTTTTAAAATAAAGAGAGGTTAATAGGAAGGTGCCAGAAGACTCTAACTCATGGAGGGTAAACAGTATTCTTTTACTCAGTGTCTTTACTGAGCACTCACTATGTGGCAGGGACTGCTTCGTGCACTGAGAAAATGGCAAGGGGAAAAAGATGGAAATAAATTTCCCCTCATGGAGCCTACATTCCAGTCGAGGAAGTGCCAAAATAAACAAACAGCCAAAAACAAAGCATGAAAAGAGTGGCACGCTAATATAAACAGGAATGAGACAAGAGATCCACTTCCGTTCGGGTGGCCACGTGCGGCCTCTTTGCCGAGAAGGGACCCAGGAAGAGGAGGTGGCAGCCAAGTACCTACAGCCTAGGCATTGGGTCCCCAGGCAGTCAGGGTATCTGGGAGACCCGCTGTCAGCTGAGTGTACCGAGGGAGCGAGGCAATTCCCGGGACAAGGGCAAAGCACCAGGCAGGAGAATGGCAACAGTGCATGGCTCAAAGTAACACTGTCCCTTGCAAATCTCAGCGTCTCCGTTGTGACTGGGTCCCAGTGCGAGGTGCGACTGGCACCTGTTCAGAATTTCAGGGGCACGCAAGGGTCTTTTCACACTCAGAACTCTCAGCCACCTGGCTGCTTAAGACAGTTTACTCAAACACAGACGGAACCCCTGCTCTGCACATTGTGAGAAATACAAAGGAAATAAGGACAGGTCATCCCCTCCAAGAAACTGACATTCTGCGTGAACTGCCCACCACAGGCAAGTGGCTCTCGTATCTGGCGCACGACTGGATTTCTGGTGACGGAAGCGAGTGGGTTTGAGTTTGTCCGGGGAGCATAATGGAAAATGGTGAAGGGGAGTCCTGACAGACTGCCAAGAGCCGGGTGGATCCGCGATCAGTGCAGGCGGCACGTGGTTTCCCTACAATGACGTGGGCCTGGGAGGAGCTGGGAGGGGCCTAAGGATGTGTAGAAACAAAGCACACAATATGCTTTCTCAAGAGGGTCTTGAGACAGTGTAGTATAGGCAAGGGCTCTGGAATAATGCATTGAGGTGCCATCTCTATTGCCTGCTCAATCAGATTATCCAAATCATCATCATCATCATCATCATCATCATCATCATCATCATCATCATCATCATCATTATCACCATCACAATTAGACTGCACAGGTATGTCCTGGGTGGCAGATACCATGTCAGGGTTTATATATACATTGACTCGAATATAACAATGCTATACACTATTGTTATTACTATTTTATAGACCAAGGGAGGTCATTTCAGTTCTCAGGTCTAAGAGAGAAAATTAAGAGGATTGTAGAAAGTTGCCTCTGTTGTATCTTGCAGTTCTGACATTTTATGACCCTGTTTTAGTGTGTGTGTGTGTGTGTGTGTGTGTGTGTTAACCATCTGTCTGCCCTCTTTCTCCCAAAGCGTTAAAATTCGACTGGGAGTTTTCCAGCCCACCATCAAGAACAACAAAGAGCAGATACGGAATTACTCACTGATCGTGCCCCACCCTGAATTCAACACGAACACGCTGGAGAATGACCTGATGATGATAAAACTGTCCGAGGCGGCGGCCCTCAACACCCACGTGGGAACCATTGCCATCGCCCTGGAACCTTTGGTGCTGAACGACTCCTGCTTCATCCCGACCTGGAGGTGGAATGAATACAAAAACCGTAAGTGTTTGGCTTCGAGCTGGGGACAACCTGGAGGGATATACTTGAGGGGAATGGGGGCTCCGAGGTAATGTTCTTGACTTTAGAGCAATTACTTTCAGGACCTAATAAAACTGAAATGAGAGGTCAAAAGATAAAATTCAAAGAGGCTGATAGAGAGCAGCTAATGGACATCAACGAATGGAATAGGCAGTAAGTGTTACATCTCCAGAACCAGGATCTGAGTCCTGGGAACTGAGTTTAAATAAAAGTGGGAGCCCTGGCTGGCATAGCTCAGTGGATTGAGCGCGGGCTGTGAACCAAAGTGTCGCAGGTTCGATTCCCAGTCAGGGTACATGCCTGGGTTGTAGGCCATGACCCCCAGCAACCACACGTTGATGTTTCTCTCTCTCTCTCTTTCTCCCTCCCTTCCCACTCTAAAAATAAATAAATAAAATCTTTAAATAAGGTGGGTTAGTGGCTCACTCTAAGGGTAATATCAAGGTGTACTGTGGGAGGGTGCCTTGCTGCCTCAGGGACGGCTACTGGAAGCCCAGCAAGCCATCACGGAGACAGCAGTGGGGAAACCAAAGTAAAACACGTGCTGTAGGAAGGCAGCCGAGGATGCTCCCCACCCCGACCGACCACAGACAACCCAGTCTGTGCCGATGGTGATTCAAGTGGACCCTGAGCAATACTGGGGTGGTGCAGGGAGCCATGTCTTCCGTCCCGGATCTGTTTCCACAAAGAGAGTGCGCCTCTTAGATCTGCGGCTCCATCCGGTGGTTCCCACTGAGGGGAGGGGACTGGCAGGGCTCACAGGAGTTGAGTGCTACGGCACGCTCATGGTATCTCTCTGGGTGTCCCTCTGGCCAGACAGGCATTGGATAAAATTGCCGCAACCCATGCTGCAGGCACCCTCTGCCCTCTGAGCTCTAATCGGTGTGAGCAGAGATCTGATCTCTGCAGGATCATGTCTTACCAAGGGCATTGTATGAAGAACATTGCTTCCTTACACATTTGTTGGTCCTTGGTGGCCTTTGCTTCATGGGGCTGCTGGTTACCATTATGTTCTTTTTAGGTATTGTCAAGGGATGATGGAGCCACCCCTCAACATCTGACATGAAATGATAAAGCTAAATGTATGGCTTATTGTAGTGAGGAAGAGCATGCTGAGCAGGGTCAGTCTCGCTGAGCAGAGACTACCGGGCTTATGCGGGGTTTTGTGGGAAGTTTGTGGACAGGGACTGGAGGACTTTCAGAGGCTAAAGGGAGTTGACCTCATCTGTAAGAAGTATGGTTACTTGGGTGTGGTTGTTGTTGATTGGTTGGTCTTCTGAGGAATGTTTTTTGGAGTGGTCTGATTGGCTGACTTTAAAAAGTGACCTCAGTTGATTGACTTGCCAAAGCTCTGTCCACTGAGGCAAAATGTCATGGACAGTAATCACATTTAGACCCCAGTGGTGGCTACAGAGCAAGTCACCTGTTCTGCAAAAACAGCTACCAAGTGGGAACTTTTAAAATAATTCTCTTTTGCAAAAACAAATAAAACGTGGGAACTTTTACATTCTTCCCTGTTGGCAACTTCATTTTCAGTTTAGCAGCCACATTGCTGGGAATCTAAGTGAATATGTTTTCTGAACAAGTCAAAGAGTTATGACCTTTGGCCTTGAATTTATAAGTCTTATTCAAAGTAATGACATCACACATCACAAAAGCAAGTTATTACATACCATTTGAAAACAAAATAAAACTGTAGGAATGTTTTATCACACAGACCCTGTGTGACAAGCCCATGGTGAGGGCCTGTCCCCTGCAGGTCAGGACCATGGTGACAAACTAATTCTATAAGCTCTCTGGTGCAAAGCTCCCCATAGTTATTGGGAGTTCGTTATTTCAAGTAACTAGACTACTTTCATCTAACTTGTTTTACGTATTTTGATTCAATTCCCCTAAAAGTTGAAAACTGAACCTAACTCCTTTCTTTTCTGACCCGACACTTTCTGGTCAAATCTACTTTAGGACATTAGATTCATTATACCCCAGGAGAAAAATCTTGCTCCACAGATCATTAAGTTTTGCTTGAGCAATCTCTGGTCAGTTTTTTGTTTCCTCCTTGCTCTTCTCTACCAGAGATTAAAATTGTATAATATCTTGATTAGAATCCTTGCACCCTGACATTAACAGGATACTAACAACTGCTATCATGGAGATACTACCAACTACTTAAAGGAAATATGTACGTATACTTACATGTATACACATCTACACTTATAAATAATCCATTTAAAAATAAACATCACAAAACACTCTTTTTTTTTAATATTTTATTTATTTTTAGGGAGGGAAGGGAGGGAGTGGGAGAGAGAAAGAGAGAGAGACAGAGAGAAAGAGAGAGAGATCAATGTGCGGTTGCTGGGGGTTATGGCCTGCAACCCAGGAATGTACCCTGGCTGGGAATCGAACCTGGGACACTTCAAAACACTCTTAAACACATTAAAAAGTTTTCTCCCTCTATCTCTACATTTAAAGAAGATGAAGTAGGTGCTGAAAAGACAGATTTCTTGGAGATGAGGGCTTTGTGTCTGTCTCTTCTCAAGGTCACTCATGATTTTCTCCTGGGTCCTCAAAGATTTCTGAATAATGCATAGTGGAGAGGACTCGGATCCGACGTCCGATGTGAGGAGGGACTCCTGCTCTGAATCCACTGCTCTGACACAGAGACACTGAACCAGGGACTCTGAGGAGGATGGAATGTTTACTACCGGCAATGAATATTCTCAGAGATTCATGCATATGCAAAACTGAGGCTGATCCCAGGAGGACCTGGATCAGGAGAGTAAGTCAGTCTGGGCTTCATTTCTCTTCTCATTCCCACAGTGAGTGATCCCGACATCCTCACCTGGACAAGCCAATATTCTCTTCCCTCCGGTGAGTGCCAGGGTATACTAAGCCAAAGAACGACAGCCAACATCATGTGTGTGGGACAACCTCTGAGCACCCTATATGGAATTAAGGTATCTTCCCTTCTCCCCAGACAGGAAGACAGCAAAGGGTCCACGGGGAGGGAAGGTGACTATGGAAAATCCAATGACACTTATCCCAAAGGCCTGAAGTCCTTCTCCTTTCCCCACTCACGCTCTGGGTTTGTCATCCATTCCCCTTCCCTCCTTCAGAGTGGAAGGAATTCTCAGTAGAACCGTTTGTCCTTTCTTCACCTGCTTGCTCTCAGGTTGGGGACAAGCTTGACCCAAGACAGGTGAGGCCTGTGTGGATGTGAAGAGAGGGTTGTTACCTCTCAAAAAAAAAATAAGTCCAGTCCCTTCAATGCCCCTGCTACTATAATGTGCCACTTGTTGGGATTTATTCTTGTTCCATGAGGACAGAGTGACATTGACCTCCTGTTCCCTTTCCCCGGCAGGAAGTTTCAGCGGCTCCAGCTGTCTGTGCTGGGAGGTTGCATGGAATCTTGTCCTGGGCAAAAGGCAGTGTCACCCTGGGAAGTGAAGGATTCTTCACAGAAGTTCACCCCTATGCCAGATGGATCCTAAAAATCATTAAGAGCCACTGAGGCTCCCATGTTCCTCCCTCCCCACAGGGCAACCTCTTCATGACTTCTACACTGGATCCCCAACTCCACATTTAGAATCCACATTTTAAAACCCAATAAAAAGTGACAATACATTCATGCTGTGATCCCTGACCTCTTCCTCATATTGAGAACAATGAGAAATTCAGCAACATCCCCACCATGTATGCACTCAGAGGGCACCGTCTATGCTAGGGGTGTGTGGGTGAATAGGACATAGTCTTTGCCATCAGTCAGCCAATTATAATAGCCTCTGATAACTGCCATAATAATGATGAACAAAATGTGTTGTGAGCACATAGAATAAGAACATGTTGCAGGAGGTGTCACCAAAGAGACAGACAAATCAGGAAACAATATTGTAAAACTGAGGGTATACTCAAGTAAAATTCAGAAAAAGCATAAAAACTGAGGCATGTTCTGGAAAATATTTGTAAATAAGTAATACTGGAGACACCATGGTGAGAGAATGTGATAAAAGATTGCTGTTTGTAGGTGATCAAGTGTTAGAAAAGGACCTGACCTGTTCCGTGAAGAAATTTAGATTTTCTTGTCTTATAGACATCAGAGGGGGTGTTATTAATGTTTCCATGCTAGAGAGAATATCGCCAGCTTTCTGAATTGGGAGAGAGAGAGGAAGCTGTGTCTGTACCATAAATCCACAGATGAATTTGACTGTGAGTAGAGAAAAGAAGGAAGTGTCTGAGCTGACTCCCAAGTTTCTGACTTGGGTGACTAGCTAGGTGGTAGTTCTCAAACTCAATATCAACAGAACTAATGTTCCCATCTCTGAAGGATCAGGAGCATGTGAATGAATTAGGAGAGATGGGGTATGTGATTATTGGCATCCTTGGAAGATTGGGAGGCCATCGTTTCTAGCAGACAGCTGGAAGCAAAGATCTGGATCCCAGATGATGTCTAGACATAGTAGTTGGGGAAATCTGTATTTATGGAAAGCAGTTTCAGGCTTTGGTAGAGTTTTGTGCTATCAGGAAGAGCTCTGAGGAATGCTTAGTCCTTCTGTCACAATGGCATATGGTGGAGAGATGAATAGCAGCCCAGACCCAAGATACCTAAAGAGACAGAGTTGAGAGGATTCTGGGTGACCTAAAAGTTGGGGTTCAGACTGATATTCGAGAGGCCATGGACTTTCATGTAGGAGAGGGGCAGTGTAATATGTGTCAGGGAGATGGGGGGAGAGAGAATTGTGCCATTGGAGAAAGAGACTCTGCAAAGAATGAGGAGGTTAGGAGATCCATCCTTTGAGGGAGAAGTGAATCTGTATGTTAATAGAGATTGCAGAGGTAGGTTGGTTCTTGGACGATGATAATATGGTGAACCTGAATGCTTCTTACCCCTACTGAAGTGAAAAACAAAACAAGACAAAAAATAGATCTGGGTTCTGACTAATATCCACAGCTTAATCCTCTCATGTACACAAAAATTATCTCGAATTTGGACACCAGGCCATTTCCTTCAACTTTGCTGCTTTTTCTTGTAATAGCTGGCCCATCCAAACCATAATCCTCTCTGTTTGCCTTATCTAGGAGCCTCACTCCTAGTTTCTCCATGCTTCCTGCCTCTGATCTATTTCCCAATGTGCCCTGCTGTGATCACTTTTTATAACTCTGAAATATGTCTTCAGTGCTTACTGACAATTCTATATTCTCCAAGTCCAAGTCCATGGTCTGTGCAATTCTCCATAATGGCCACATCAAACATCCTCCTCTTTCCCGTGACCTTCAGGGCTCACCATCAGCAGACGATCTCTGGGAGGAGAAGGATGGTGAAACCCTCAGAAGATACCTCAGTGTAACTTCCCACATCCAACCTACAAGCATAGTGTTTGTTTGTTTGTTTGTTTGTTTACTATCTTTAGCTTCTTATCTCTACCCTTCATATGGATCTCATCTTCTATGACTTCCTCATGGACTTGCCTTATACATTATCTCCCCTTTACCTTATTTTTCAACTTCCTCAATCTATTGGATTCTTCCTGTCCACATCTCAGCAAGATAAAGCCTCTCCCATCTAAATTACAGAGGCCAAGGACCTTCTCCCCAGACCTACTCTCTGGTTGCCTCCTCTGTCTTCTTCGCAGGACATTCTTGACAATCCCTGAAAGTTCTGTTCTGTAAAAGTCTTCTCTGTCTCTCTTCACACTCTGGTATGCACTCTGCTCTCTTTTCAGTCCTGGTTCATCTTCCCAGCGATTTCTTCCACCATGCCTTCCTTTGGTTAACTTCTCCTCACCCTTCTAGCCTCAATCATCCAGCACTTCGTCAAGAAGGTCTTCTTCTGATCCTTACCTGGCAACTCCACTATGTGTTTCCCTATCTCTCTTTACTTCCCACAGTGTGACATTCATAGAAACATCCCCCTGTTTCTCCTATTAGTCCTTATGATCTGTGAGAGCTCGATTCTCATCTCCCTTACCATTACATCATCAATATCTAATAAAACGCCAGCACGCAATAATCATATGTGTTAGTTTTCTATTCCTGCCTAAACACATTACTATCAATTGAACAGCATAAAACATTTATTATATCACAGTTTCTGTAAGTCAAGAGTCTAGGCATAGCTTAGTTGGGTTTGGGGGGAAGCATTTGCTTCTAAGCTTATTCAGGTGGTTGGTAGAACCCGTTTCCTTGTGGTTGAATGACACAGGGCCTCTGCTTTTTCTGGCTGTCAGCTGAAAGCTGCCCTGGGGTCCTTAAGATTCTCCTCAGTACACAGAGGCGTTCTTTGCCAGATGGGCTTTCTGCATCAAGCCAGTGGGAAGAATCTCTCTTTGCATGCTAGCAAGTGGAGGCATATACACAAACATAACCGTGGGGAGGACATCCCATGATTTTTGCCATGTTCCACTAGTCAGAAGCAAGTCATAGGTCCCACCCATACTCAAGGGGAGGCAATTGAGGATTACTCGGGGGATAAAACATGGGCGGGCCTGTCCTCCACAATATTCAATAGAATTTGGTTGAATAATGAATTTATTGGCTCCTGATCTACACAGTGAAGACTTCTGCAAGCCTTAAATATGCAAGGCTTATATAAGAAGGCTTTTCATGATTCAAACCTGCTTGTCTCTCCTCCCAGTTTTTAACATTCTTGTAATACTCATAGATCCACAAACTCACCATGTCATTTCACATGTTCATGCTTATACAGAAGCCTTTCCATCTTCTTTAATAGTTTTTTAATAAAGATATTTATTTATTTATCCATTTATTCATTTATTTATTTATTTTAGAGAGAGGGGAAGGGAGGGAGAACGGGAGGGAGAGAAACATCAATATGTGGTTGCCTCTCGTGTGCCCCCTACTGGGGACCTGGCCTGCAACCCAGGCATGTGCCCTGACTGGAAATAGAACCAGCAGCCCTTTGGTTTGCAGGCTGGCACTCAATCCACTGAGCCACAACAGTCAGGGCCCTTTCTTTCTTCTTGAATTATTTTTTCTCTTCCTTTCATGCCGGACAAGCCCCTTCCCCTTCTCTAAGCCCTGGGTAGAGTGTAGTCTCTGGGTTCTCCTTTCCCACACACTTACACAAAAGTGCTTTTAACTCTGTGCCCTCAGGCAGAAACAGTGTCTTCCCACTTAGGCATCCTCAACAGTAAGTCTTGCACAAATCTGATGCATAATAGATATTATGGGCTGGCTGGCTGAATAAATAAAGGCGGGAGTAGTGACACGAAGGAAAGGGCTACTGTATCTCGAGGCAGTGTGTAGTCAGACACAGGGGCTGAGATCAGCACGGGATGCAGGGCTACAGCCACCAGAGATGAATGTCAGTGGCACACAACCAGGGGCCTGCATCACATAGAGGGGTGGGGCCAGCACCCTGCAGGGAGCTCAGAGAGGGACAGGACTTCAGAGTTTGACAAAGCAGGGGCCAGAGGGGAGGAGGCTGTGGACACACTGTAAGCCTCCATGTCTCTCAGATTAGGGACTTTCTAATCTGACAGGGAGCAAAACACTGATCTGTTCTCTACCTTGTCTCGGCCCAAGTCACCTGATCTCTGTTCTTATCCTTCTGACGCTTGACACCACCACCCACTCTGACTGACAAACACCTCTTCTGGAACTGAATCCTGCCACGGCAAGAATTCAGATGACAATGTTTTCTAACCCTAGAACCCCATCCTGCCTCATCTTATTTAGTCCTTTACTCTCCCTCTCTCTTCTCTTCATCCTTTCCAGAGACCCAGAGCTGAACCTCATTCTTTGAAAAGGCCTTCAACATCATTATGAAGTTTATCCTCTTCTGGGTGACCTTGAACCTGCCTTGTGAGTATCTGCACATTTTTCTTCACTGGCCAAAGAGAAATCCTGGGTGGGGGGAGGAGGAAAGGTGGATAAAGACAGGAACAGCATCCCAGACCGCAAGGGTAGGCTTGGTTCTCTATCCCTGGCCACTGCCTCCGTCCCCCCAGGCTGCCTCCTGTGACATTACCTGCCTGCCTCACCCCAGGTTGACTATTGCACACTTTTGGGGGAGGCATGGCCATTGCCCCCCCCCAGTAATGGACCTCCTCTTTAGGAAGACTGAGAGCTATCCCTCGGCCTGTCCAGAGCAAGACTGACTTCGGTATAAGACACCGAGGAGTGGAGGCAGGGGATGAAAGCAGGAGTCCAAAATAATGGACCCAGAAGAGCATTCAAGGGTTTGGGGGGGCTAGTCCAGGAAGGGTTCCAATTATTCAGGCCAAGGCCGTGAAGATAATCAGAAATCCTCTTTCTGGCACACACCACGTTCATGCTGTTTGGACAATTTTGTTGACTTTGTCTTCTAAACAAATTCAGAATCCAATCACATCTCACCCCCTCCACTGCTCACCATGGTCCAAGCCACCATCTCTTGCCTGGATTATCAAATTGTAACAGGCCTCTCTGCTTTATACGCCTATACTCAACACTTCTCCCTAAGGGAACTATCATCCCTCCTTTATCACACACTACACACCCCATTTCTCTCAGAAGGCAAGTCCACGACTTTACAACACTCTACAAAGCCCCACCCGCATCACTCCTTTAGCCTCTCTCCTTCCCTGCTCCTCCCCGCCTCACTCGCCATGCCAGCCACATCGGCCTCTGTGATGCTCCTCAAACAGGTGTTAGGACTCTTCTCCAGCTGCAACCCCTGCCCGGGATCCTGTTCCCCAGACCTCTGATTACTGTATTTTGCTGTGTATAACGCGCACCCACATTTTGTGCACAGCAAACACGGGATTATTATACCCATGCCTTGTACTCATTACACTTAGGTATAATGCACATCCTTATTTTTCCCTCAAAATGTTTGGCAAAAAAGGGCACATTATACGCAGCAAAATACAGTATCTCCTTCCCCCAGCTTCACTTCACTGTTCGCCCCTCACATCCACCAGATCTACCCTGTCTGTCGACGTGATACCGCACAGCGCCTCCCACACGCGTGCGTGCACACACACCCCGGCTATTACCTTCCCCTCTTTCCTTCTTCTTTTTCCAAAGCACTGATCACCGTCTAACATACCGAGCCATTCACTTATGCCTGTGGTTGTTATTGCTGAGTGTCCCCTCTCACTGGAATGCGTGAGAGCAGGGATATCTCTCTGTCGTATTCACTAGGCGGCCCAAGCCCCTCAGACGGAGCCGGCACCCACCAGGTCCTCAGCAGTTTCTTGTTGAATGAACGGATGACTGTCCTTCCGAACGGATGACTCTCTTAGCATTTAGTCTGTTCTTTAAGTGGCACTTACGTCATTCTGCCTTGCATGGTTGTTGGGGGGACAGGATGAGATCGGTCAAAGCTTTCTAAAAATGGTAAAAATAGTTCAGTTCTTCGTGAGCTGATTTAACATATGCCCACTGAGTTGTGGAAGGTATTTGAGAAAGCTTGTGTTTTCCCTGCAAGGATATTTACTGACAACTAAAAGGGAAAACACCTTTCAGCTTTTGAAATAAATACATTTCTACAGTTTTCTTTATAGTTTACAACAAAAGGATCGAGCTTACAAGTTCAGCTCACAGTTAATGGTACTAGTGAGAAAGGCAGACAAACCTTGGATCTATGACGTCATTTTCCTTTGGGTTTTTTTTTTTTTCCAACGGATTCCTGAAAAAATAACCTCAGAATTTCCTGTCTATGTTTCTCTTTCCAGGTGCTTTGACCTATGACCCCGATTACACATATACCATCACTCCCCCCTACCTGGCCTACTTGAAGTCTGATTACTTGCCCTGCGCTGGAGTCCTGATCCACCCCCTGTGGGTGATTGCCTCTGCCAGCTGCAACTTACCGTGAGTCATAAGCCCCCAGTGCCCCTTCGCACTTGGGGTTCTCAGGTTGCACCCAGGCAGAGACCCCCGCCTGCGACCGCTGCCTGTTGAGCCTTCATGGGCTTAGGGAGGCCTTCTGGGGATGTTCAGGGCAGAGAAGTCAGTCTGCGGGGAGGAGCTAATAAAGGCCCAGGCGGACGGGTGAGCCGTCTCCACCCAGCCCCCTCAAGAACACCCATGTTGTTCCAGGAACCTTAAGGTGATACTGGGGGTCACAAACCCCTCCAACCACATGGAACGAAATGTGCAGGTCGTCCGTGAGGAGAAGATGATTAACCACCCGTACTTCTCGATCACTTCTATTGAGAACAATCTGCTGTTAATCAAGTTGGAAAGATACATCGGAGTCAACGACTACGTGAAACTCGTCAGCCTGCCCCGAGAACCCGCCCCCGAAAACGCCATGTGCACTGTCTCCACCTGGGGCTACAACAGATGCGACCTCTGTGAGTGACGGACGGACGACCCCTCTCGCAGTGTCGGACGTGCTTCTACCCCTTGTCCGCTCTCCGCCTCCCTCCGCTCAACCCTCCAGCTCTTTCTCCTAACCTCGTTGTCCATCCTCTCCATCCGTTCCATCTCTCTCCCCCTTTCCCTACACCCCACTGAGGGGGTCTTTCAAGCTCCCCACCCCCACTGCATCTTTTTACCATCTTTGTTTTTGTTTTTAGATTTTATGTATTTATTTTTGGAGAGGGAAGGGAGGGAGAAAGAGAGAGAAACATCAATGTGCGTTTGCTGGGGGCCGTGGCCTGCAACCCAGGCATGTGCCCTGACTGGGAATCGAACCTGCAATGCTTTGGTTCAAAGTCCACGCTCAATCCACTGAGCTATGCCAGCCAGGCATCTTTGCTTTCATACACGACAGAAGTGGTGTTAGTGGAGGGAAGACATGTGTACTTCAGCCCTAATTTGCTGCATGGCTGTGGGCCACTTCACCTTGGAGCCTCAGTTTTCTGGACTCAAAAATGTGGTACAGACTATATCAGATGTTTTCAAACTATTCCAGGCAATCGAGAAACTTAGAGTCTTGAAATAGCATCAAATAAGATTCATGTATTAAACATTAGGTGTATATATATAATATTGTGCTTAATCAGGCAGACTTTCCTTATGCAAGACTGTGATACAGATAAATAATTACAAGTTCAAGAAAAATATTTCCGAAACACTTTAAAATGATAACATTCTGAACATTCTCTCATTTATTCAGGAAATCAAAAAATGGCCCTGATGATTTTTTCAGTAAAAGTCTCCCATGTATAATTGGAAACCACCGAGCTATGCATTCTAAGCTTTCTTCTGTGTCGCAATTTTCAGATTCCATAAAAAAAAATCTTTAGGTTAAGACAGCTTTCTCTTGTCTAGGTTTTGTGCTGTCTGCTCCTATCCCATTCCAAAATTTTCAGGCAAATTCTAATCCACTGCAGCTGTGAACCAATATAGCCGTGAATACTAGGGAAGGGGTGCTGACTTAATTATGAAGAAAACGGAACTATGATATTGTCCCTTAGGGAAAATCACTGAGAGAATTTTATTTCTGAGTAACTTCTGCGAGTATATTTAACATATATCATCCAACAGACACCATAGTATGGGAGGAGAGTCGTTTTGAACAAGGCTGTCAGATTATATTCATGCACCCACCTCTACTTTCTTTTACTAGAAGTGAAGGGGTGGCTGCACACGTATCCTAATAATGCTGCCATCACTCAAACCTTCATTACCAGATCTTCAGCACGTACCTCCAGATCTCGGGGCATGTTGTTTTCAGTATATCAAACAGTACAAATTGTTTTTTCCCCCAGCTTTATTGACGTATGATTAACAAAAATGCATATATTGTGTATAACGCCATGGTCTGATGTAGGTACATATTTTGATATATATATACATTACGTGGGTACTCCTGTGTACGTGTGTGGTAAGGGTTAAAAATACACAATATAATATTACACAGTGCAGTCACCATGCTGTACGTTAAACCTCCATAACTTACTCCCCTTATAACTGAAAGTTTGTGCCTTTTGGCCAGCATGCCTCCATGCCCTCCTGCCCCGGCCCCAGCGACTGCCATGCTCGTCTCTGTTTCCATGAGTGCAGCGTGCTTCCATGCCACACTTAGGTGAGATCACACAGTATTTGGCTTCCTGAGTCTGCCTTCTTTCACTTGTCAGAGTGTCTGTCTTCTAGACAAGCAGAAAGTCTTTGTTCTTCTGAGAGTCGATCTGAGTTTTGAAAATAAGCAAATGGCCCTCTCACGAGCAGTATGTCTGATTCATTGTGTTTACCAAAGAGCAGTGACTTACAAAAAAACTCTAGCTGATTTGGGTCTGGCTCATGAAGTAGCGAAGTAAGCATTTCTTGAAAATGCATTTGCAGACGTACAATACACTGTGCGCCTGAAACTAATACAAAAGAATATTTAATGTCAACTGTAATTGAAATTTTTTTAATTAAAAAAAATAAAAATACATTTCCAGAAGAAATGCTGACCCGCACAATTATTGCTAGACTAGAAAATAAAACAAAGAACTTTAAACATTTTCTTTTCAAGAATAAATATACCACTTACAAATAAAGACATTTATATAAACACACTCCCATTAGAAAAACAAAATCTCAAAATAAAATACTTCTTTCCAATGAAAAGTCCTTGGCAAGAACCTCTAACATACATATTAATATTATTTTGTTCTTGTTTTTCTCATTTTATTACATTAAAAAAGTTTTGTTATGGGTCTATGCAGTCCATAGTATTTGTAAGCCATTGATATGAAGAAACTAACTTGAACTAGGAATCAAGAGACCCTGTTTTAAATTCTAGTTTCGTGGGATTTAAGAAAATCACTTTTTGAGTGATTTTTGAGTGAAAATCACTTTTTGAGTGATTTTTTAGCAGATTCTAGATTTTTTGATCTGACAATGAAAAAACTAAGGTGAGAGGACTCTACATATCTTTAAACTGAAAATACACATGTAGCAACCAGCAGAGAAGTAGGTCCTGGAGATCTAATGCCCAGTATAGCGAATATAGACAATAGTATTGTATTATAATTGAACTTGCTAAGAGACTAGATCTTAATTATTCCCACCACAAAAAGGAAATTGTAATTATGTGATGTGATATTGATGGCTATTGCTACAATGGCCATCATATTGCACTATGTAAATGTATCAAATCAACACGTTCACCTTAAATGTACACAACCTTGCAAGTCAAACATAATTCATTTTTTAAAAGATTTTATTTATTTATATTTTTAAAGAGAAGGGGAGGGGGGGAGAAAGAGAGGGAGAGAAATATCGCTATGAGAGAGAAACATTGATCAGTTGCCTCTCACATGCGCCCCAACTGGGGACCGAATCCACAACCCAGGCGTGTACCCTAACGGAAATCAAACCCTTGACCTTTCGCTTTGTGGGATGACACCCAGACAACTGAACCAGACTGGTCAGGGCCAAGCCAAATAGCTTTCAACAAGTAAAATGAAAAGGAGTCAGTGATGAGTTTAAAATAGGGGACAAATAATAAAACCTAAATAGGTAAAATTCCATCCCAAAGGACACTCTTCACATGTTTAAATTTCCAGGAGTTTCTAAAGGAATTTCTTTCATGCCATTGCAGAGATCTCTCACGTTTACATATAACTTCCAAGAGTTTAATCTGTTTTGTGAGGCGACAGACACGTGTATCGTGAGGAACTGTTAATCCAAGTCCCTGTTGTCCCAGTGGCCACAGTTCTGATTTCTCTCCCTGTTGGGCCTCCTTCCCCTTCTGCTGGGAGGAGAAGAAGTGTGTTGAAACAGAGGGGAGGGAGAGGAGACGGCCCGGCATCCAATCGTGCTCACGGACATTCTACTTCCCTCTCCTCTAGCCAAGGAGCCTGACTCACTGCAGAGTGTGAACATCTCCGTGGTCCCCAAGGCTGAGTGCCAGGACGCCTATCAAAGCCACAACATCACGGAAAGCATGCTGTGCTTGGGCATCGTGCCAGGGAGAAGGCTGCCCTGCAAGGTGAGCTGCTCTCCCTACCATCCTGTTCCCGTTTTGTTCCTTGCACCTTTTGCCAGGCTATAACCTGGTTTCCTTTTTTCCTGGCAGGAAGTCACTGGGGCCCCCGCAGTCTGCAATGGGGTACTTCAAGGAATCCTGACTTTTGCAGATGGATGTGTTTTGAGAGCGGATGTTGGCATCTATACCAGAATCTTTAACTACGTGCCCTGGATTGAAAATACAATTCATAACAACTGAGCTCCCATGGCTGGAACTCTGGGCCGTTCGATGCAGCCCGTACCCATGTCCAGCCTCAGAGTCGAATCTAAATAGACGCCTTGGGTTGCACCCTGCATCCCTGTCTCTTCTGCCCGCAGAGAAGGGGACGGGTACACACCTGTGCGGTGACCATGCGTGACAGCCCTTCTTCCTCCCCTCTCAGTGAAGACAGCAAACTCAATACCTCTTAGGCAGCTGAAGTTTGTGAAGTGGGGACAGTGTGCTCTCTTACACACTGATCATGGATTTATTGAGAAAACGGGCCACTCGGTAGCCATTTTGGGTGTCAAAACCCCTCCTACTTGCACTGATTTGAACGTGTGCAACTTACACACGCCAGTAGGAAAAAGGCAGTGTGACAAGGGCAAGCCAACCAGAAGGACAGATGAGGGGAAAGGGCTTAAGGAGGGAGGTTGTGGGAGGCATTGCATTTTGTTTCTCCTCATCTTTATGACTCTACACCAGGCAGAGATTCTGGTCATTCATTCTGCGGGATTCTGTGCAGGGACTTGAGGCAGGAGAGGTTAATACAAAAGTTCCCTGGGGCTTAGGACAGAAGAAGTTACAGCAGTAAACTCTATCCTCTCTATGGTCCTAAAACCCTAAGGCAATGAGGCCCAGTGTGTAGTGTTGAAAACAACACTTTGTACATGGGTTATTGAGTTCATTTGTGAGAGCTTCACCTCTATGTAAGTTATGACTGAAAGTTTCGCTCTGAGAGAAACAGGTGGTTTTTGCAGGTGAGCACCTCAGCCTCGGGAGGTGTTTCCCAGCTTGAAGTGTTGCTAAGATCTCAATAGGTCATCCTGATGTCTTATGAGCTCAGATGAGTCTAGGTGAGGAAGCATGTGTTAGGGGCACTGAATCCCATGGGCATCAGCTTGCTGTATGACCACTATCATAGGAAGGTGACTTCCTTGGTTGAAAAATACACTCCTTTTTTGTGGAATAGATAAGGCATTCAGCTGATTCTGGATGGTGGGGCTGGGAGTGAGGATGGCAAGAGAAAGAAAACCCAAAACTAGAATACATCATTTTTAGTGAGGACGGGGTCCTACTACCCCCACCTGGCTGGTGGGTTACCTGGGCTACAGTAATAGATCGGGGCTGAGTTTGGTCACCAACACTGCAAACGGGGTCTTTAGCAGAGGTGGTGGCCAGGTGAGACTTGCATGAAGTCCCTACATGCATCCTCTTCGGTTCCATTGTTCTTGGTTTATGAAGCCATAAAAGACACTTGGAAAAATGAGGGAAAAAAAAAAAAAACTTCAGAGCAGACCAGCTGGTCCATCTGATTATCCAAGTCTTCTTAAGTGAGAGCATTTTGGTGAGAATTCTCATTGGACGCAATTATTCTCCTGCACAAGCTGACCCTGACAACCCATACCACATAACTCTTTTCAAAGAGCGTACCCTCATTCCCTCCATCGTGCCCTCTGAGCACTAGCCACTCCCAAGAAATCCATATACAGCGAGACCTCCAGAAAGAGAACAGCTAGATGTGCTGATTGAATTCCTGCCCCCTGAGAAGATTTCTCTTCTCCTCTTTCCTTCAGGGCATCCCTCTGAGGGGCTTTAACATCACAGGAATACACATGCGGTGGGTAGCAATAGAGCAAACAGATCCATTCATAAAGGAGGTGACATCTCATCCTCAGTGAACTAACTGTTCATGGAAAAGTCTTCTTGAGGTGAGGGTTGAAGAAAGATGGCCCAGAGTTGCTTATGCAACTTATTTGGACCTTCAGGGCCTCATTCACTTCTGTTCCGTTTATGCTTCTCGTTATGCTTCTCGTTGACGATGGAGCATTGCTGAGTCCATCCAAGTTGATGGCAGAAAAGCAGCCTCACCTGGAGCAACTCCATGGCCACCTGGTGATGTGGAGTCAGGCGTTTAGTCTCCACCAGACCACAGTAACAAGCCAGAGGCCGTTTCCCAAAGAGGAGAAAGGAGCATGACTCTGCTGCCCTGTGTAGGGATTCCTGTTCTGATCTTCCTATTAGCCTTTGCCATGAGCTTCATTTGGCAGGCTCAAGATACTTCTAGCACTACCAAATCTACAGAGTTTAAACCCAGGAAACAGAGCCAATTGGGTTTCAACACCTGTGCTGGGTGGATAGTCTTTTCTGACTTAGTCTCACACTAAATTAGCAACTTCCTAGATCTCTTCATTAAATGGCTCAGAGCATGATATCCTAATGAGAGAGATTTTGCTTATAAAATGTAGAGACCTTCAGGCAGCATTCCTAATAGTAGAGAGCACAGGGTACAACAGCGTGTTCATGTCAGGGGAAGAACCCAACATCCACCCACAAGTTTCATTGTAGAAGCAGGTGACAATATTTTCACTGCTTGTATCACCTACCCAACACCCTATACCTGTCTTTGCAAGACATCTGGGAGACTGGCTACTTCCTGTTATCTAGTCCAATCAACACAGTATCATCAATATAACAAACCAGTATGGTACCCTTTGAGATTGTCAAGTTCAGGGCCAGAGCAACAGTGATTGCCTGAGCATGGAGGTGAAAATATACTGCTGCCCCTGACAACTGAAAGCTAACTAATCCCGAGCTTCTCAAAGATGATGTACAAAATGTACTTTCTGGGTGAATAGTTGCATACCAAATGTGAATGATTGGATTTGCTCTAGTAAGAGGGCTACATATGGAATAATGACTATAATTGTTACTTCCTGATTACCCGGTAATCAAACACCATCATTCCTTCCAGTAATCAAACACCATCATTCCTTATTAATCTTTTGGCTTGGCCATGCTGAAGTTTTGAATGGGATTGTAATACAAATTATCAGCCAGCAAACTTCAAGTCTGTGTTGGTAGTTCCTATCACTGCAATGTGCCCATGTTTTAGATTTACAAAGGAGAAACTTCACCAATTTCCTCTTGGCCCTTCCTCCAACAAAAGCCCTCACTTCAGAAGTTAGGCAGTGATTGTAATAGTTGCAGAGGTTCCTCCAGTTGTAGAAAAAAACATAACAGCTCCTGCCCCACCCCCTGCTACAGTATACAGAGGAAATAGGGGAAAAAAATCTAAATTTTTTGAATTACTCTTGGAGAGACTTAAGTTAAAAATCCATTTATCCATCAGTTTCCATATAAGCCTCACCCTGACCAGTGGATCACAAATAAGTCTCCCCCACGACCACCACCAACACCAATTAGCACTAATTCTGATCCAGGATCCCTCAAAAAAACTAGCTATCTTCTTGTTCCTAGAGCACAAGTCGCCAAGTAAATAGACTCAGGTCACTTTTATAGGCTAGCAGGAAGACTATGTCAGAACAGCGTCCATTCCCTCGGGTACCCAGGCAGGCTCCCCTTCATTCGAGGGGCATGGAATCAGTCAATACAACTAACTGAGTTTCGCTGACTCACATCAGTCCACTACTATCAAACATGCAGATGTTTTGTTTGTTTGCTCTTTGGTTATGTAAACACAATGGAATCCATCACTCAGTATCCTGGATGGTGGGTTAAGTTTTTTATAACTTTAACTTGCAGCCTTGGGAATCCAGACGTTGCCACGTATCTAAGCCATACTCTTTATCGGCTCTTCAAGTAACTTTGCTAGGAATTTCCCTCTCCACCTGCCTCACTCCTTTATCTCTCTTAATTTGTTCAGAATTTATGTGAGAAGATAGGGATATCATTCATTAGCCTCCTCAAATCCTAATGACATCAGGATAGGACTTGGAGAGTATTGAATAAGGGCATACCCCCTAAAACCACCATTACCAAGGCTGAAAAAGCTAGGATCCCCAAACCTTATCAGTTTATACTTAACAAGCACCCATCAGGGCCCTATGCATATCTGTATAAGCTCAAGAGACTTGCGTGGATCCTGAAAGCCCTGAAAATTATTAACCCATTATCAACTCCCCTCTTCCCAGGCCCACCTGTATGTAGCCCTTACCTTCACAGACCCTGTTCCTCTCCTGCTCAGGGGCCCTGCAATGATGGCCTACAGGCCATAAACACAGGCTGTGTCTCTGCTCTGTGCTCAAGAATCTGAATTATAATAAAGGTGTTTCTCCTCCTTTCTCTGCCTCTCAGAACTGCCAGGGAAATTTTAAGTTCATGCTTTCTGCTCTCTGAGGACTTCTTAAATGAAAGAATAAGGAAGGAAAGAAGAGGGATAAAATTTGGAGGAAGTCAAGGTGAAGAAACGTGCCTTATATGTCTTGAATGTCACTCCCTATCTAGTGAAGTACTGGAAACTGAGTAGATAGTCTACGCACTTATTGGTTAATTCCGAGAATGGCTGAGACAAAGGTGAATCATAGACAGTTGTCTCAGGTGGCTATATTCCCCTGCCAGTTCTAGAATTCCACCATCTTAAAACTAATCCAAACTTCAGGATAACTATGGAGCAGAATCAGATTTACACAATCAGAAAATATATTACTTTCCCTCCAAGCAATTAGATTTGATTGGGGTAATTCTGTCTATTCCCACCTGGCCCTGTTGAATCCCGGGTATTTGAAAGTATTAAATGAGAAACTAAAGTTGAGTACACAAGAATAAACTCAAAATGGATAAAAGATTGAAATGTAAATTGTGACACCATAAAAGCCCTAGAGGCAAACATAGGAAGTAAAATTTCAGATATCCCACATAGCAATATTTTTGCTGATACATCTTCTAGATTAAAGTAAATAAAGGAAAAAAATAAACAAATGGGACTACGTCAAATTAAAAAGCTTCTGCATGGCTAAAGAAACAACCATCAAAAGAAAAAGGGAACTGACTGTATGGGTGAACATATTTTCCAATGACACATCAGATAGCGCTTGATCTCCAAAACATATAAAGAACTCATACAACTCAACACCAGGAAGACAAACAATCCAATTAAAAAATGGGCAAAGGACCTGAATAAACACTTCTCCATGGAGGACATACAGATGATTCATAGACATATGAAAAGATGTTCAATGTCACTAGTCATCAGAGGAATTCAAATTAAAACCTCAATGAGATATCACCTCATACCAATCAGAATGGCCATCATTAATAAATCAATAAGTGCTAGAAAGGATGTGGAGAAAAGGGAACCCTAGTGCAACTGTTGGTGGGAATGCAGACTGGTGCAGCTCCTATAGAAAACAGTATGGGATTTCCTCAAAAAACTAAAAATGGAACTGCCTTCCCCAGCAATTCCACTGCTGGACATATACTTTTAAGAATCCCAAAACACCAATTCAAAAGACCTTATGCACCCCTATGTTCATAATAGTTCATAGCACTATTTACAATAGCCAACTGCTGGAAATAGCTTACATGACCATCAGTAAATGAGTAGATAAAAAAACTATGGTACAGTTACACAATGGAATACTATGCAGCAAAAGAAAGAAGGAACTCCTACCCCTTTGCAACAGCATGGCTGGAACTGGAAAGCATTACGCTAAGTGAAATGAGCCAGGTGCTGAAAGACAAATACCATATGATCTCACCTATAAGAGGAACCTAATGAACAAAAATAAACTAACAAGCAAAACAGAACCAGAGGCATGGAAACATGGAACAGAGTGGCAGTGACCGGAGGGGAAGGGGGAGTATAGAGGGGGATAATGGTGGAAAGGAGGGGAAGGGACTAGTCGAAGAACACATCTGAATGACCCACGGACATGGACAACGGAGTGGGGATGGACTGTGGGAGTGGGGGTGGGCTGGGCAGAGGAGGGCAAAGGGGGAAGAAATGGGACAACTGTAATAGAATAACAATAAAAAATTAACAAAATAAATACAAATAAAGTTGTGAACACTCTGTAATGACATGGGCAAAGCACTTTTATCAACCTCAAGACAGGAGACTGCCAACACATAGATATTTCCTATCTATCTCAGTACGAGGGGTTAGATAGCATAATTCACTCGATGAAAAAGTACCATGTGTGAAATACAAAATTCAAGGTCAACTGTAATTAAAAACATTTTAAAAAAATTTAAAAAGCAAAGCATTCTCAGATAGGATGACACAGCACAACCAAACTATAAACAATGAATTAAAAGCAATACCAGTAACAGCAACAAAAAGCGTTGTTTGAACTCCTAGCATCTGTCGGTCTGGGAGGGCTAATCACCGTGGAACCAAGGGCGGACGACGGTATTAGGTGAGCAGAACTGCATCTGGGAGGTCTCAGGGACCGAGTTAAAGGGGACCCATCAGGGCAATGGTGGATTCCATCACTCCAGCCAGAGGTGCTCGGCAGCAGTAGTTTCAAGAGCTACCAGCAGGGGGCCTCAACTTTTCAAGAAAAGCAGGTTGCCCAGGGCCTCTCTGGCCTGCCACCTCCTCGGCGTTAAACAGCCTCTTGGTGGCCAAGGGCCTCCCAGGGAAGGTGTTCTAAAATAAAGGTACCCTTCCTGGAGGAAGGTGAGAACACAGGCATCCAAATGCCCCCGGGGCTCCGGGCCGGCCTCTGGACGTCCTCCCACTACTATGCCTGTAGAGCTGAGCGGGTGTTCCCCACAACACCTGACGGGGGGCGGGGGGGGCTGAGAGAAGAGCAACATCTGTGGCCCTCTGTCTGCGCAGATAATGGCGAACTGTGGGCAGATGGCGCCCCCAAATGGAAAAAGCGCCCCCCTCTACACAAACGCAGAGGAAAGAGCGCCTACAGCCCCCCTGCACCGCCCACCCCACCATTAGAGACCGCACAGCGCCTTTGCAACGCCTCCTCTTCTCTCACGCCCACCTCGCACCACAGTTACCTGCTCCTTTGGGGTGGAGAAGCTCCGAACTGGAGCCAGAGTGGCTCCGCTCCTGTAGCCTGTAGCCATGCCTCCGGGCTCTGCACAGGTCTCAGGATCTGGGCGTCTCCCACAATGCACCTCCGGGCTGCCGGTTCCAGCTGTTTGCGGGGTCTGGCCTAGCCCTGCCTTCCCCTGACTCCCGGGCGGCAGCAGAGCCGGCCCTGAGCAGTGGCCTTTTGAAAGGTGCTGGCCAAGCCCTGCACTGTGGATTCCGGATCCTGGGCCTTTCCAAGTCGGACCCTCTCGGAGGATCTTACTTGTAAGTACTGATCAGTCTGAGACAGGGGTGTGAGAAGCTGAGGTAGTGGTGAGCACGGGGAACGGGGATGTAATGGGAAAAGCGGGTGTTTATTCCAGGGGTGTGAGTGGGGACCATAGGCCGAGACATCCATTCTCCCCCTTTCTGAGCTCCCAGAATTCCTCCAGGTTTCTTTCCAGTGCCCTCTGGACATTGAGATTGGTATGAAAATACAATATGCTTGTTTCTTGTGTGCAGACTATCTGGACAAGAGCTAATGCTCCTTAAGTGCTTCCCGTGTATCTGTGTCTTATTCTAAAGGCTTTACTTGAACTGGGGTGTTTAATCCTCACAGGGCCCTCTGCGCTGGGTAGAGTTACTGTCTGTACAGACTCAGAAACTAAGTTTCAGAGAGAGGACATCGTCCCCACAGCTCACAGATGGCAGAGCCAAGGTCTGCAGGTGAGTCCTCCAGAGCCTGTGGGCCACCCCTGTGCCGCGCAGGCCGAGTCCATGTGCAGTCAAGAGGCCAGAAGGGAGGACCTGGGGTGGGGACAAGCAGGCTCCGGTGCTGTAGGGGCAGGCAGAGGAGGAGGAGCTTAGGCTCAGGGGTGGGAACCCGGGGAGGTTTTTATTCATTTGTCTAAGGAGAGTTTCTCACTGTGTCTTTGCTGCAGCTGCAGTACAGGGTTCTGCCCTGTGTCACGTTGGCCACGTGCAGCCTCAGCTCCTTGTCATCCACGCGCATGACCCGGTAATCTGCTCCAGGAAGGGATATGACCTCCTTGTCCCCAGAATACCGCAGACTGGCCAGCACCTGGAGTTGCCCCTGGAGATCCTGTTGGTACCAGCTCATCCAGGGGTACTGGGTATCCTTTAGGAAGCATTGCAGCGTTTCAGCCGCTCCGCGGCGCACCAGGGCCCACTCGGGCCTTTGCTCCACAAAACTTGAAGTGGCACCTGAAATACACAGGCAGGTCAGGCTGGAGGGACTGGGGGTGGAGGTCACCCCCAGAAATAACTAGGGCAGCCAAATCGTGAAGATGGGATTTGCCGATAGGAGGTATCTGGGAGCAGACAGGATACTTTCTCAGGACAAGAGGCTGTGTCTAGGAGGACCCCGGGCCAGGCTTGGCCCAGGAAGCAAAACCTTCTGTGCCTCCTGGTGCCCCAGGGACCCTGTCCCGCCTTCCTTCTGTCCACCCACTGAGTGGCTTTCTCTGCCCTGCTCTGACCTGTCCTCACGGCAGCCACAAGCACCCAGCCCCACAGAATGGGAAGTGCTGCCATTCCCTGGCCCCACAGGTCCGCTCCCACAGGGCCGTGGGACAGGGCCAGCCAGCCAGGCAGGAGAGCAGGCCCCAGACCTGTGAGGCGGCAGTTTGTGGCTGATACTCCCTGGGCTTGACTCTCAAAAGGGAGTGGCTTTTCCAGGAAATGCAAGGTCTCCTCTCATCTTCTCACTGAGACTCAAACCTCAAACTAGAGAGCATTTCTTAGTTCCTGGCCCAGCTCCCCCCCCCCCCCCAACACACACAGGCAAACTCCTCAAGGTCACTGAGTGCCTTCATGGACGGGCCCCACACCCTCCCAGCTGTGTCCCAGAGGTTCCTGGAAAGGGATTAAAACATCTCAATGCAACTAAAGGACCCTTGCAGATTACACAAAGACCTCCCCCACCCCCAGTGTGTCACCTATGGGCAGAGGCTGCTGCCAGGCCACACTGGGCCGTGGGCAATGGACGCTCATCTCCAATTTCCCACGTTCCACTCTGAAAGGACAAGCACAAATTCAACATCAGACATTTAATTCTCCTGGTTAAAAATAAGGGAAGGGTCTTCCCTCCCCTCCATTTTCTTAGCGTGTTTACTTTAGAAAACTTGTAAGTTCTTTCTCTATCTCTGAAATGTATGTAAATCTTTTTTTTGTAAAGATTTTTTATTTACTTATTTTTACAGGGGGGAAGGAAGGGAGAAAGAGAAAAAGAGAAACATCAATGTGGTTGCCTCTCTCACGCCCCCTAGTGGGGACTTGGACTGCAACCCAAGCATGCGCCCTGACTAGAAACTGAACCAGTGACCCTTTGGTTCCCAGGTCACGCTCAATCCACTGAGCCACACCAGCCAGGGCTGTATGTACATCTTTTAAAAAGCCAAACAGCTCTCCCTGTCCTGGTGGCTCAGTTGGAGCATTGTCCCATACACCAAAAGGTTTCAGGTTTGATTCTCAGTCAGGGCACATAACTCTGTCGCAGGTTCAATCCCCAGTCAGGAGATGTACAGGAGGCAACTGATCGATGTTCCTCTCTTTCTTTCCCCTACCTCCTTTCTTTCTAAAAACAATGAAAAAAACAAACAAACATATCCTTGGGTGAGGACTTAAAAAGTTTTTTTAAAGACAAAAAACTGTTGCCAGGGTTAAGACCCAGGAATACCATTCTCAAAAACCCACAGCCATCCCTTTGAAATATAAACATCTAGGAAAATGAGCCTAACTTAATTTAGAGCAGACCGCTCACACCAGGTCACAAATGACCCCGACATAAAGACATGCCAAGTTTCTTTTCCCTTCAGATAAAGCCAACTAGCAAACACAGAGGGACACCCCAGTTGCCCACTGACCCTGGGATGAGCTATGGGTTAACAGAGGGTCCTGTCAGGCCCTCTCGTTGGAAGACTAGACCTTGCTTATCCCGAAAACATGCCTGTAATGGGCTGGGTCTCCAGGCCTGTGTGAAAGGCTGAGGTTTCTGTGTCTTGGCAATCTCTTAAAGAAATGCCAGGGGCATGTGTCACCTTCTGGCTTCACACTGATTTAATAATGGAAGGATTTTCTTTTCTGCCTTTGGGACAAGATCTTCTGAGTTAGGAGATTTTGTTTTCCATTGTATTTTCCCAGTGACTCATTGTGCTGTGTGACCTTGGGCCTCAGCGTCTCCATTCGTGAACTGCAGATAATAATGAAAGCAACTTCATACCTGGCTGGTGTGGCTCAGTGGATTGAGCTCGGGCTGTGAACCAAAGGGTCGCCAGTTTAATTCCCAGTCAGGGCACATGCCTGAATTGCAGGTCAGGTCCCCAGTGGGGCCACATGAGAAGCAACCGCACATTGATGTTTCTTTCCCTCTCTTTCTCCCTCCCTTCCCCTGTCTCTAAAAATAAATAAAATATTTCAAAGAATAGGCAAAAGGCTTCTTTAAAAAAAAAAGAAAGTGATCTCATAGGAATAAATTAAAAACACATGAAAAATTCTTACAGTAACGCTCAACACAGAGTAAGCACTTTGTAAACTGGACTTCGATTATTCAATGGCAAGTTTCAAATTCCACTAAAATATGATCGAATTAATAGTAGCATTTATCTCTCTCTAATTGTCTATCACTTAGTAATCAACAGAGATTAGAATCACAAGTGCCTCTAACTTTTTTTAACGTTAAAAGGCCTCGTTTGTCAGAAGGTTCGGAAACCAGTGATCTCCCTCCTCTCCAACCTCCACATTTTACAGGTAACAGTACAGAGATGCGCAGGGGTCAGCAACGGAACTTCACTGTTTCAGGATGTTCAAGTCAGTGTTGCAAGTGGGCGTCTGTCTATTCACCGCAGATAATAAATGAAGACGGGAATTGGAACCAGGCAAGACCGCAGGGCCACGTCCCTGGAGAGTCCCCACGTCGGGGCCCAGCAGTGGCCTGGCGTCCTGAGGGTTTCCACCTCACAGAGTCACTGTTTATTTTATTCTTCTGAAATTTTAATACACACAGCAATAGGGTTCCCATGATTTTCTCAAAGGATCCACTGGGTGGCAACGTAATACAGTTTATAAATTCGTTTGGCTTGCTGACGTTGGAATTGTGTGCTTCTCGAATTAAACCAAAGACAGATTTTTCATTCTGTACAACTTTGTGTACGAAGTGACTTCACTGATATTTTTTGTGTCACCCTACTTCAAAATTGCACGATCATCTACTTGTGCACAGAAGGTCCACTGTGCCACCTTCTGAGTAACGTGCTGATTCACTTTATCGCATTTTGTCCCCTGACCTGTTCCCAACCTCATCACCCGGAGAGGGAGAGGGAGAGGGCTGTAGCTCCAGGTGGCATCGCCCAAATCACGCGTCCTGAATACCAGAAAAATGCATTTCATCCTGCGTTAGGCTGCGGGGAGAGTCACTCTGGGGATCAGACAGTGAAAGGAAAGGGGGCTGGGGAACACAGGACAGGGAGAGCGAGGTGGTGGGCAGCAGCCTGCCAGGGCCTGGAGCAAAGCCCCTGAGTTTCAGTGGCTGTGACTCCAGCTCCTTCCCATGACTCCGCCTCCTCCTGAGGCCAGTGCTGAGGCCCGCAGACAGACTGCAGCCCAAGGAATCCTGAGCACGTCTCAGTGTCTCAGTTTACAGAGCTGGCGGTCCTGTCTCCCTGCCACCCCTCCCTTTGCCTTAATCCCCAAATGTGATTGGGATCAGAGTGTCTCTGATACTCCTGTTATCTCCTCCCTGAATCCCTGCTCCTCAAGGTCACTGCCTCCCCAGACTCTGTGTCTGGTCTTGGCCTGGCTCCCATCCTGGGCCAAAGTAAGCCTCTTTCTTCCAGGTGGCTGCCTAGCTCCCTACCTCCTCCCATGCCCCGAGCTGGGCATTATGGCTGTCCCCCTAGGAAATGTGTTTTCTCCCCCACCACAGCCCAGCTACTACTCAGGGGCTCAGCCGCTGCAAACCACCTCACCTGGGTCCTTAGCGGCTTTGAAGGACTCATGCAGTAGGCGATAAGAGGAACACACAGGTGCTGAATGGAGGCACGGGCAGGTGCTCCAGGTCCTGTCCACCCCCGTTGAGCTGAATTCCCGTGGGGGGTGGGGGGTGGTCCAGTGTCTGTGCGGGGAGAGGCTCTCCGGACACGTGTCCTTGTTAACTTTTCTGAGCCGCTCCGCTGGCCCCTGGAGGATGGACCCCAGGGGTCAGTGAGGCGACTTCCTGCTGCAGAAGAGCTGTGTCCGACCCAGGCAGGAAAGAGCTTTGGGGTCAGGGTGAGACTTTGGTGCCCTTGCTAAGAAGCAGTCAGCGATGACACCAGATGACACCAGTACCCTCCAGGACAAGCCCTGGTGGGAAGGCCCGGCAGGGGCTGGGGCCTGGGGGAAGGGGCGTCCTAAGGGGCGGGTGGAGAGAGCACTGGCCTGGGGGCAGGGTCCTGGGTCCTATGTGAGCTCTGCCTGCACGCAGACACCCCCTCACGTTACCCTTGGCGCTTCTGCTTCCTCATCTGAAAATTAGGTGGATTGGAATGTTTCTAAAATCAAGTGGATCTAATACTCCTTTTTACTCGTGTGTTCTCATATTCTGACATTCCTTCTGCGCTTCTATTATCTGCCGGACACCAAAGTGCTAGCCCATGGGGACACCGGGCCAAGCCTCCAGCGGGAGGCCCTGAAGGTGACTCCTCTGAAGGGCAGTTCGTGGGGGGAAGGATAAAGCACAAAGCCTCTCAAATGCAAGTTCAGGTTTATCCCCATCTCGCCCTCGTCTTCCCCTCATGGCCCCCTCCCCCTTGCTCCTCCCAAGAATGTGCAGAAACGCAAAGCTACCCCAGCTCGCCCACCTGAAAGCTGATTAGGGCTCCTTCAGCTCTGTGTGTCCTTTCCGGGATTAGCAGCAAAGACTCCTCAGGGAGATGGAAATCGCAACCTTCCCTTGACCCCTCCCAGCATTGTCTGTCCTTCCTGCTGGGCTGGGAGGCGGAAAGGCAGGCTCCCACGCCCCCCTCTGGCACCCCTATGCTGCCCCAGTTCTGTATAGAGACAAAACAGAAACTGCCCATAAAAACTGGGGTGGGGGTCACGTGCCAGAGGCCAGAGGGCTCAGTAAGGACATCCAAGGATCCAGGGGAGGGGGGAAGGAAGGGAGGGGAGGGGGAGAAAGTAGGAGGGGGAGGAGAAGAGAAGAGAGGAGAAGAGAGGCCTCCTTGATTCTGTGAGGTCCCTGTTGGCTGGACACCAGCATGAGGTTGGGGTAGACGAGTTTAAAAGATTCACTCCTGAGAATTTGATGCCAGGTCCCCAGTCCAGGGCAATAGCAAGCTGCCCCACATGCTCTCTGGACACCTCACACCTCCAGGGTTATGTAAGTGGCACCACTCTGAACCCAGGGGATGACGATCAGATCAGAAGAGCCCCAGTCTGTCCCTCCCCGATGGCTCGGTGCCCAGCACAGGGAGAAGCACATATAAGTCCACACCTCTTGAGCATCCACCACAGGAGAGATGCCCCCGACCCCAGGAGCCATGGCCCGCACCCTCCCCTTCGGGCTCCTCCTGCTTACGGTCCTCGCAGCCCCCTCCCAGGGCAGCCGTCAGGGCCCAGCCTCTCGCTTGCGTTACTCCAGGTTCCTAGATCCTTCC